TATGGTTCCAGATGTCAGTGAATTTATAATAAAATAAGGAAATGCAACAGAATTGAAATAATTATAATTATTGAATAATTATAATAGGAAGCATCTGTAATACAGTAAATATAGTTAATGAGGAACAAGTTGGGGATTCAGAGACAAAGCACCCTCCCAATGTAGGACCGAGACTGTTAGGAACGAGTAAAATAGGACAGGTTTCAACTGGAACATTTTCAAAATGTTGGCTGGAGCAACTTGGTCATTTGAATTTTAATCATACTCCAGTGTTGTTCACCCATCCACTCCTTTTATCCCTGTTCTCCTTTTATCCCTGAAAAATGCCACTAACTGAAATTACAGTAGGCATTTATTTCCTTTAAGCTCTGCAAGGGAAGGAACTATGTTTTCTGTCATTATATCCTACGTACCCACATTAGCTCTTGGTACATTGTAAGCACCAAAAAAATCCTTCCCAACTGCACGAATACCACTAGTTTCTCCCCAAGGTGATGTCATTTGTGAAGCATTCTTTTGCAAATCCTATCATTTTTTTTTTCATTTTGCAGTTCTGGGGAGTACATTTAGGTCTTCAATGAAGAGATACACATGTTGTGGAAATTTGCAGATTACCCTAGAAGATTACTCTTCGCTCTATCATTTATAGCTTTGAAGACTTTATGAAAAATGAAATGGAGCTAATGTTTCCACTGTTGAATGTGGCAGTACAAACAGTGCTTACTGTAAAGCTTAGAAACTTCTTTACTTCTCTTTATAGCTTGTTGGGCGACCATTCTTGCCTTCCTACTGGAGTCTTGGGTTCCAGCTTAGTCGCAGGGATTATGGAGGCATCACTGGGTTGCAAAAGGTTGTGAGCCGAAATCGTGAAGCTGGGATCCCATATGTAAGTTAATACTTTTACCTGCATTTAGGACCATTTTCCATCTTACTGTTTTGCATCAAATGTAATTTATTGTGATAAATACAAATAGACTAATAGGTTGACAGATTGACAGAAATACATGCATTGACAGAAATACTGTCAGAAAGTTCACAGGTTAAATTGCCTATCTGCCCATAAAAATGCAAACAAAGTTTAGGGAGTCAAATGGAAATGGTTTTTTAGTTTTAGCTGTGCATCTTCTTAGCTCCATTCAGTGTTGGGCTACTTAAGTAACATCTCCACTCTTACTTTCTACCTTTACTAAAGGAGATGTAAGATTTATTTCACTTGATGATAAAGAAATAAGTTGTGCAATGTACGTAAAACACCTACCTTAGAGGATGAGCTCCATCAAAGTTACCTGTTATTTTATGAGAGGAAGCACGACCCCAGGTGACATGGTTAACGAGAACCAATGATCACACTAATGACTGACAGTAAATGAGTTTATCACACTGACCTTGTAAACTCTTTCCAGACTTACCAGACTAATTTTGAAACTTCATGGTTGAACAGTATTCATGATTTCCAGTGTCTGCCCATAAACCAACAGATAATTTTAAGAATTTAATATTTGATAAACCTCTCCAAGCAGTGTATAACACATGATTAGGGAAGTTATCAACAGAATTTATCTTGGGCTAGCTGTTTGGAACTTTTGAACTTTGAAGCGAACATGTACCTGTTAGAGTGCGAAGGAAGATTTCCCGGTGTAAATGACTTTGGCTTGATCTTAGACTCTTCAGTCCCTTCTCAGAGTAGCAACCAAGGGGATCAGTTTTTCCTTTGAGAAATCTTATGCTCATCATATTGTTTTGCTATTAAAGGGAAATTGCATTTAATTTTATTTCTCCCCTATCTGCTATCTTTAAAAAAGAAAACAGTTCTGGGAAGAATCAGACCAAATTTTGTCACACATTTATTATTTTACAAAGGGCTTTCACATTCTTGGTGTGCCCTCATGATCACTACTTTGTAAGTGAGGAAGCAGAGACACTGCATGGTTAATGACATTTCAGGGTTGCACAGTCTGCTAAGGGACAGGATTACTACACAGATAGACTTCTTTTGACTGTAATTGTGGTACTGGCTTTAATCTATCTTCCTGCTTCTCATGAGAAGGGCTTTGTGGAGATGTTACCAGTTCAGGAACAAAGTAGCTTTTCTTCCATAGCTGAGAGCTCCTTTCCAAGTGGTTGTAGGGGAACTTGGGTCTTAAGTGACCTCCTAGTACCAGAACAAATGATGCCACTTTGGGAAGCAGGCTACAGGCTGGTGGCCCCTAGTGCACTAACTCGTGAGAAACCCATAATGTCTTCCATATGTCCTCAAGGTATGTAGCAGATTGGGAAAGAAAGAGCAGCCAGAATCAAAGAGCTGTCACCAAGCCCCAGTCAGCTTTCCCACTGCCCAATCGTGTGACTGTGGGAAATGTCACTTGTTTTCTTCCTATTTCAGCCTTCTACTTGAGAATAATACCTATCCCTTGTAGGCTGATCTGCAAACACAAGAAACAGTGTGTCTGAGAGTGTGGTTAGTTAAAACTCTGTCTCTTTGCCACGGATCTTTGTTAATCATCATTCTAGTAGTTTCATAAGGCAAAAAGACCATTGTCTCCTTTTATGATGTATTCTGGCTTGACGTTTGGCATTCAAGATTATAAATGGTTATAACATTACTGCTATGTTCTTTAGCTAAACATTTAAGAGCACTTGCTAGATGTCAAGCATCCAGGCTCTTAAGTTACAGAGATGAACAAGACGCAGGTCCTGTTGTCAAGTTCCTTTTGATACTTTATTATATGTCTCTGTCAGGATGGTGAGGTAAAGCCACAACCTAAAATCATCTGAATCTTTTAGAGATGGCTTATTCATTCCTAGGAGGTAGTGGGGCCTGGAGATTTCAGGATTAAGAAACAGGGCTTCTTTTTAAGGGTCAAAAACTGGAGCTGAAACCTTTTTGATCAGCAGGATGACAATTGCTAGATTCTAACTGGCATTGCTGTCTTTCAGGATGTCCAGTACTCAGACATAGACTACATGGATGGAGGAAAAGATTTCACTATTAATGAGCAAGCTTACCTCAACCTTTCAGATTTTGCCAAAGAATTACATGGAAATGAACAGAAATACATAATTATCATGGTATGTTTAAACACATGCTCTGTTACTTTGCTTTTCTTTCAAAGTACAAAAATCTTTACAAAATAATATTATATCCCCTTTGTTTATTAGAATCCTGGCATCTTGAAGAACTCTACCTATACGACCTACAACAATGGAAGCATAAAGAGAGTGTGGGTCTTGGAAAGCAAAGGCTTTGCAGTCGGGGAGGTAATTTCTCAAGAAAGAGAAATTTACAATTGGTTTTTGGGGTGGGGCTTTTTACTTTGGTATGACGATGGGTAAAAGGCTAGTTACAGCATAGCTTTTAAAAAATACTTCTTTACAGTGCTCATCTCATTATGATTTCTAAGCCCATAACTGTATGAATCAAAGGAGCAAACTTCTGAAGGATTTAAAAATCTAGTCCCTGACCCACTAATACTACAGATAATTGAGAAGCAGTGTGCCCTAAAACATTCAATTACTTAAAGTCCTTCTGCCTCCCAATTTCTGTCTTTTCCTAAACAGTATATTAAGTATAATATCACGCCTGGATGCTCATACGTTAATGTGAAAGCTATCTCAAGTAATATGGTTTTAATTTACACAAGACTTCTAGGTAAAGCCCAGACTTGAGTCTAAGGTAGCAGTTTTAGGCATTGGAGGAGACTGCTCAAGAGGCTCTTTCCATTAGAGCTGAGATTCTAAGAGTGTGTACTTTAAATAAAAGCATGTACATAGTCAACCTTTTATTTCAGTTATGCAGAGGGTCAACCCTAGGTGGTTGAATTATGTGAGATTTACTCAAATTGGTACTTAATGTGAAAACATCACGTATCTCCCTGACTGGTTTACCTTGCAAAACTATCTTTTCAGGGTTATTGATGGGCTTTTCTTAACTCTGTTTACTTAATCCACTTGACTGATTTTATTCACAGTGCTTCATTCTGATTACTTACTTTTTAATTGACTTTATGTTCCATGAGGCAGTAGGATAGTTTCTTTCCTTCTGTAAACCAAGACTTCACTTTTATGGTTTTATTTGATGTGAAATTTTAAATATCAGCTAGATCCACCCATATGCATGTATAAGTTCAAAATCCAAGGCCCTAGTCGAATGAAAATTATTTTAATCATCTAAGAATTACTTATATCTGTGAGTCATTTTAACAGTGCAAATATTTGGACATTTTAATGAAATGTTTGCATATAATTATAAAAATCTATTTAGATGGTTACCTCAGTTAACCAATAAATCACATGAACCATTTGGCTTCAGGTGTTGGCAGAGGTAGCTGTTGGGGAGGTGGTAGGGGTTTGTTATAAAAGCACTTGTTATAATAGAATTTTCCTATTCTGTTCTGGAGTGAACACTGCCGTTGGTGAACTATGTGTTTGCTGAGCTACAGAATCACCTCTTATTTTTACTTGGTGCTCATCACCTAAAACAAGGACTAAGAGTTAAATCCACTTAAAGTGGGAATTTCAAGCTCCCATCTTACCTTTTAAGATTTCTTTACATTTTTGGTATGTATATTCATTATGTTGCCTGAGTGTAAGATTGTTCCTAATTCTCAACCTGTGGGTTTATTGGAATAATTAACAAGAATTTTGCACAAAAGCTTGTATCCTATTGATTCAGAATTTTAAATAATTTGGCCATGGCTCTATCTTTGTGCTATTTGTGGAAGGTGTTAAAGTTATTGTTTAATAGATGTAGATAAAAATCTTAATGATTTATAAAATATTCTTTGTATGCAAATAACATTATTTATAATAAAATTATTCAAAGCAGGTTTACTATAACCTTTAATTCATAATACATTGAACACACTTAATCATTCTCTTTCAAAGTATTACAATTAGACATTTCACTATTTTAAATAGTTCATCTCCCAATTGACAAAGAGATAATACAGTTTGATTTTATTATTTTCATAGAAAAGAACATATAATGTATTTTCACTCGAGTCTTTTTTCCCTTTCTTTTTTCTTCCTTTGGCTTTGCATATTTTTTCACTGTTTTTCTTTTAATGAGGGAGTCACAAATTTCGACTCTAAAATGACATGCAACATGGGGTTTCTCATAAAAGAAATAGCAGCCAAGAGCGCTGTACTTGAATAATTGAACTATGAAACAAATTGCCATAGCGTTTTTTGTTCCCTAGGGATACCCAGGGCAAGTAGTCTTTCCTGATTTCAGCAATCCAGTGTGTACCCAGTGGTGGACAGAGGAACTCGCTGACTTTCATAACCGCCTGGAGTTTGATGGAGTGTGGATTGTAAGTTATTACACCGAAATTTCCTTTGGAAGCATAAATACCAACTTCTTAGGTGAATTTTGACCCTGATATTTAATAAAATACTTTGCTGGGGCTTTGATATTCAAAAATTCTCTTGTTTAATGCTGAATTTATATGCAGTAAACAAGGCTTCTAAAAACTCTAGGTTTTTATCATGAATTTGCAACCAACTGGTCATTTCATTTGGTAAATTTTTTTATTATCACACGTTTGTAGTCCATGATGTTTACGTTCATCTTAGGGAGCAGGTACATGTACTCAACATAGCTTAATTCTTTTTCTTCTCCTTCCCTCCCCATTCAGGTCCCTCCTTTTGTTTTTAGATCCCCTCCACTTCCTCCCTTCTTCCCTGCCTCTCTCTCTCTCTCTCATTCATTCATTCATTCATTCATTCATGTTTGCCGCATATAATGATTGCATTCATTGTGTGTAACTGGTACATGTACCTGACACAGGACAGATTTTAAATCTCTTTATGCCCCCCTCTCAGTTTCTTGGTCCCCTTCCCATTTGCAAAAGATCTTTCTCCCTGTTTCATCAGTCCTTTATTTGACCTTTGGGTTCCTCCCATGAGAGAAACCATGTGGTATTTAAGCTTGTGTGTCTAATTTATCTCATTTGACATTATCTTTTCAACATGCATACATTTTTCAACAAATGTCTCAACTTTATCTTTCTTTATAGCTGCGTAGTGTCCCGTGATGTACAGATACCACATATTCTTTATCCATTTTTCTGTTAATGGATATATAGGCCACTTCCAAGATTTAGCTATTATGAGTTGTGTTGCTATAAACATGGAAATGCATGATCCACTGTCATGTGGAGACTTTAGCACTGCTGGGAAGAAAGGGTAGCTGAGTCAAATGGAATTTCTACTTTTATTTTTTGAGAAATCTTCATACTGAAATCTTCAATGGTTGTACTAAGTTACATGCTCACTGGCAATGTAAGAGGGTTTCTTTTTCCCCACAGCTTTGCCAGCACTTATTATCATTTAATTTCTTGAAGATCGCCATTTTTTCTGGAGTAATTGAAATCTCAGTGTTGTTTTAATTTGCATTTCTCTAATAACCAGCAAATTTGAACAATTTTTCATGCACTTATTGGCCATTGTATTTCTTCTGAGAAATATGTGGTCATTTCTCTTGCCCATTTTTCAGTTGGTCTTTTATTTTGGGAGATCTAGTGCTTTATATATTCTAGGTATTAGTCTTCTGCCCAAGAAATAGCTGGCAAATCTCCCTATTCTGTAGGTTGTCTTTTCACTCTGTTGCTTATTTCCTTTACTTTTATTTCTTGTGCAATTGGAGCTCTGTTCAGAAAGTCCTTTTTTGCTCTTGCAAGCCTTCAGCTTTTCCTCCATTAACTGTCAGCATAAAAATATGACTTTATTAAAGCTATGATTACTGTACTACTATTTGTAGTATTGGCTCAAAATATTTGATCACTAAAAGTCATTCAAGGAGGCTGTTGTATTTCTTATTTGTGAATAGTGGGGACTTTCGGGGAAAATTTGAAAACACTTTTGTTTGTTTGAAAGACTAGAGATCATTTATTTTTAATCTATCTTAAAGACATGATTCGATCTCAATTTTATATTATCTTACTGTCCCTCACTCAGTGAAATAAAATATCGAGAAAATTATAAAACAGAAATGTTGCCTTGTCTTTGCCTTTTTAAGGTATGAAATTGTAAAACCAACAACATCTTCAATAGTCAGCCTTTGAAATAATTTTTTCTTAATTAATAGACTGAGATTAATTTACAATCAAAGTCATTTAGAGCTGAACATTTCCTAGAAGTAACCTAATTCAGTTACTTAATTTTACAAAAGATGAAATAGAGGCCAGTAAAATTCGGGGAAACTATTCACAATTCAGATACCACTTACAGGAGACACCAAATATCCTGGCTCTAGTTTGGTAAGCATCTCCTAAAAGCTTATTCTAAACCAATAACATTTGCCATTTTTGTATTTTGTGTCTTTGAAGGAAATGGATGAAGTCTCTAGCTTTCTCCAAGGTTCTAATCAGCAGTGTGAATCAAATATCTTGAACTTTCCTCCTTTTACTCCCAGTAAGTGTTCAACTGTTTGCTAATGTTTCAGATGCAAGACATATTTAAAACAGTCCCAAAAATACTCAGTGTGGTTAAGTGCAACTCACTTCTCTGTCCAACAGGTCCCCATCCCCATATATCTCGATCACTCTTCCTCTGGCATTATTAGCAAATCTAATCACATTTTTGCTGCCATAAACTGTGAAAAACATGTGGTGAAAGTGTTAGTCTGAGCCTGGAGCACTTTGCACTCCAGAACTCAAAATTCTTTCATCCTACATCTCAATGAATTAACATAATAGTTTATTTTATTCACATAATTCTTTTTATTTTATTTTATTTATTTTTGGTACCAGGAATCAAACTCAAGACACTGCGCTTGCCAGGCAGCTATATCCCCGGCCCTATTCACACAATTCTTAGTAGTGATGGATGAGTGTCCTGAGTTAAGTGATGATTCAGAGGTCTGGTTTCTTCCATTTTCTTTGTACTAGGCAGTTCTGAATCACTGTGACAACATACCCAGGAAAGTCAGTTTAGAGGCACAAATGGTCATTTTGGCTTATGGTTTCTGAGGGTTCAGTCCATGGTATGCTGGTTTCAGGCAGAATAATCATGGTGGAAAGTGTGAAGCAAGGTTTCTTACCTCATGGCAAAGAGGAAGCAGAAAGGGAGAGAGCTCCGGGACAGAGCTGTGCCTCTGGTGACCTACTTCCTCCAACTGGCCTCTACCTCCTAATAGGCTATTCAGCTGTGAATTCATCAGTGGATTTAATCCATCACCTTTCCACGCTTGGAAACATGAGGACATTTTTATCCAGATCATAACAGTGTTGTTTTCCCCCTTGGAGGCCTTTGTCTTGAGCTTCATGGATGATGGGAATTGTATGGGTGGGCTGGATATGGATTCTACCCAGTTTGTCCACATTCCTTTGCTAGGGTATAGTTATGCAAACTCAGCTTAACTTCAAGGGAGTATAATCTTCAAGCACACTCTCTTTATACACCTCTAGAGAACACTGATTAAGCAGTAGTTGTGTGGGCTCTACCAGTTTACCTGTTTCACCCATGCTATGCATACTTCTATGACCAAGGTCTAGCTGCTTCTTTGGCCACATTGGTCACTGAAGGAGTAAAGGATATTTTGGAGGGAATTTTGATAACCTCTTGCAAAACTTGCTCTTTACTTCCCTAATTTATTCTTTGTTGTTTTCTACTTACTCTGCATCTCCCCCATCCTTTTTGTTCATTTTGGATGAGTTTATCATACTTAATCTCTTAACCTTCTTCTTGGCCAAAGCTGTGCTTTGTGTTTTCCTACAGAAATGCTCGATCTATCACCTTCTTATTGCTCTGGTGAGGACCTCAATCCTTATCTCTCTGCTCTTTGTCTCCTCACTTGTAACTAGCTACTTTCCCTCTGAGCTGGGCAGCTTTCTCATATTTTCAGGGTTGCATAAGACACATTATCAGTATGATTAAGAGAGGTATAATTACCTTTAATTCTGGGAAAATATTACTGCCCTTCTTACAGCTGAAGTGGCTGTGGATCTAATGTCACAGGCTAAGCTATGTAAGAAATGTATTTGTCTTTATAGTTTATAATCCAGTATAATTTATGACTACAAATCTTGGTTCTGTTAGGCTGCCAGGATAAGCTAAACCTTAGTCTCTCCTTGTTCTACCACTTTCTGAAATTGTGCTTTGTGTTAAGGTCCTATATATGAGCAACATTATATGAAGGTAGGAAGATATGGCCCAGGTTTGAGTCCACAGAGAAAAGGGGAAGGAAGGAGATTATAGCTCATGAGGCAGAAAAGGCTGACCATTTTTGGATTGAAAAAAGGAAAGTATAGTAACCTTGGGGGTTCTCAGAGCCAGGATTTGAGTTCTTATTCAGGAGAAGACCCAAGCGACCCATCTTATTTATTGTTGTTGTTTTAAAAGTGTGAGTGAGATCTATAATATAAAATTGAAAGTGTTTGCTTTCATTGCTGTCCTATTTGTAATTGTACACTCAATTCTTGCTTAAATAGATGTAGATAAACAATATGGACTTTATATTTAATTTCAGACTATGTGCCCACAGCTCAACAGGTTTTTCACTTGCTTTCACTTACCATCATCCTTAATGAGTTCAAGGGAATACAAATTAACTTTAAAAACACATGGAGGAGCTCAGGGCACCCCCAGGTAGCAAGTAGTATTTAGTGTAGAATTGAAAATCTGGAAAAGATTTTGTGGAGTGGAGTTTAGGATGGAAGGTACAGTAACCAGTAAGAAAAAGACTGAATGGTGATTTTTGTCTAAAATTGATGGATGTCACTAATGATGTTTCCTCCTAGACATTGTGGACGGCTTGCTGTTTGCCAGGACCCTCTGCATGGACACAGAATTTCACTGGGGCTTTCACTATGATGTCCACAGCTTATATGGCTACTCCATGGCAAAAGCTACAGACACGTAAGGACTTGGCCCTCGCCTTATTCCAGATTTGAGAGGTGGGAGGTGGAAGGTAGAGGGATTTTCTTCTCTTTCATAGGTATTCAAATATTATTTGCAGTTATCATGATATAGAAACTGACCTAATAGTGTACTTCAGAGGCTCTTTCTTGTAAAATTTTGGTTTCTGTAGAGGATTAATTTTAATTGACTTATGGTTACAGAGCATTATTATTTCAAGGATACACGCAGGCAATACTATGTGAGACACTTAGACCCTAACTGGAAGTCAGCCCTTGCCAGGTTGTGTTACAGAATGTGCTATGGTTACCACACTAGGGTTACTTGACTTCAACAGTGAAAGATAAATTACCATCATCCATTAAAAAAATCTAACAAGGAGACTGATGTGTACTGCAAATGATTCCATCCTTTCCACACCTTGTCACACGGATTTTATTAGTGATGGTTTTGTGAACTGAGAAATAGTCCCTCCTCTCACCCAGTTCCTTCCTCAGGAAAATATAAAATATAGTCTTTATATCTATGAAAGCAAGAAATTTGGATTTAAGCTTAAGGCGGTTTTAATTTTAAATCTTCCAAAAAGATGAGGAAACTAAAGTGTGTGAATGGTTATTTGGCATCTTCCAGCACTTTAGGAAAGAACTTAAATCTTAGTCTTCTCTGCTTTTCTAGTGATTCTAGAACTCCATAGTTGGCAGGGGCTGTGACGAACTCACAGGGAGTATCTCAGTCTTCATCTTACTTGAATTTTCTATCTCTGGGGTACACAGTCATGACTACTTCTTTGAACCTTGGCTTCTGGAGTCCTTGAGACCCAACTCTACCTGTTACCTTGTTCTCTTTCCTCCTATTCCTTCTCATCTCTTTATCTCTCTGTATCTAGATTGCTTCTATCCATTCTTTCACTGAGGAAACTTGAGGGTCAATCCTTAGGCTTCTTCTCTTTCCATCCCATGCCAAACACATCAGTAATTTATTCCTTCCCATGGTTTTTATGGTAACTTTTTGAATGATGTCAAAATCTATAATTGGCTCGGCTCACATGACATTTTTTTTTTGGCTCTGTTCCCTTTTTTCAGCTCACCTCTCCACTCTGGCTAATCATTTTTGAAACTCTTAAATTCCCTGTCTTGGTTGGTAGCAACACTAACCCTGTCTCCTAGATTCCCAAGTGAGAAACTTTGTATCACCTTTTATTTCATGTTTCTACATAAAATCAGCCTGCTGCTTCTGAAACATCACTATAACCATTTCTTACCTTTACTCATGGCCACTTCTTATTTAAGGTCATTGTCATCTCCCACATAAATCGTTACACCTGGCCCATGTCCAGGCTCCCTTGGCTTTAATTTTCAATCAATTTATTCTCTACCTTTTATATTAGAAGTATGGCCTTAGGACAACAGTGTCAGTGTTGCCAGGAGATGTATTAAAACTGAAGTATCTTGGACCTAACCTAGACCTTGAAAATCACAGTCTGTATTTTAACAAGATTTCTGGGTGTACTGAATGTGTGATAAAATTTAAGATGCACTATTTTACTCAGTGGTAAATGCAGTCTTTCTGAGGCACAAATTTTCTCATTTTTCAATGGGTGTGAAATTATTTTTAGCCAACTATTTTCTGTGTAATAAAGTTTAATCACCTTAGCACAAGCTGTGAGATAATTCATCACCTAAATTTCTCACATCTTTGCTACTCTTCATGCTTTATTCTCTGGTAATGTGCAACTTTTTGTTGCTTCCAACTTTAAATGCTATTCATTTTTTCATGTGATGTTTGCCCTATAAAAGACAGCCTTTCTTGTCCTGCTCATTTTGCAAAGATATACTTGTCTAAGTTATCAGTCTGAAAGCCTCTTTACAGTCTGGGAAAATTCTTTCTCCTTTTTCTGTGCTATTTCTCACATTACAATATGCTTAATATGCAAAAAGAATGCATCATAATTTTCAGATGGTCATTTTTTTTCTTGCTGGACTGTAAGTTCGTTGAGGACAAAGTTAGCCCTGTATCCTTGGCCTTATGAGTAGTGTGTGTACTGAAGACATATTAGAATAAACTCCTGGCCTGAGAAAGAAAGGAGCAGACTGGGCACGCAGAGAACCTGATGCGTTAGAGGTGGAGACTGTCTGTTGTGTTTGCTAGCATGATTTTGCCTTCAGGGTTTTGCATTATGCTGGGATTTCCCTGTGATAGAGAGAGTCTTTGCAAAGTACATACACAAATTTTATGTTTCAGCAAAAGGAAAGCCCCAAGAAGAATGATACTTATCTCTGATTTTTATCCCTGCTTTTCCAACCTCTCTCTCTGAAATGAGAGATTTGGATGGCTTGTTGTTTCCAGTGGTCCCTTCCTGTTCTGATGACATCAACTCTTACAAAATTCTAAGGATAAGAGGTGGGAGGAGGAGTAAATCAATGGTCAGAAAGAGTCAGGAAAAGTTGGAGGAGAGAAAGAGTTCCAAATCACTTTGTGGCCAGTGTCTCCTTGTATTAAAAGTTCTATACAGTCATGAATGGGTTGGTTTAAGTGTTCTAATAGCTGTTATTAATAGTTAGTAGTAACTGCAACTGAGTAAATAGAGGGTTTCTTCCTGGTCTTTGGGCATGAAGCAGAGTTGGACTTAAAGGAGACAAGATTTTCATTCTGGATTCTGGACATTATGTGAACTCAAGTCATAGGGCTGAGGAAGACACGGCTAAACCTTAACTGGAAGCATAGTTGAGGAACACAGGTCACTGGGCAAACCAAGGGAGCTAAAAGCAGGAGAGCAGGTCCCCTCAGGGACCATGACATGAATCAGACCTGAGAAAAGGAAAAGATAAACTTAAGGATCTCTGAATAAGGCTTTTTCTCAAAGCAGGGAACACCTGAATGTTATCTAATCTATGCTGGCATAGTGACCTCTTCTAAGTGCAGCTTCAGATCTCTTCATCCATGTTTCAGTTTCACTCTCTATAGCCTGGACTGTGTTTCTGCCACGACTGATGATTGCAGACAGCAATAAATCTCCAGCCACTGGTAATAAGGGTGGCTTGTCTGCTAGCCTATCCAAGTGAGAATGAGGACGCAGAGTTCCACTGTGTGTGCTGGTGCTGTGCTAATAAGGATTATGCATAAGCAGCAAGGCATGGAAATAAGGGAAGTTAGAAAAACCTTGTTTTGTGGTAGAAAATGAGGCAAAACCTAACACGCAGAATGAATCTATTGTTCACTAAAAGGGCAAGACAACAACCAGATTTAACAAGATGGAGAAAATATAATCAGGAGAATAGCAGTCTAGAAAAAATTTGAGGAGGTTTGGAGTAAAGAAGTCCGTGTTATCTTATATGAAATCTGAAACCTTACCCAGCAGTGGGAAAGAAAGTATTAAAAATGCTAACTAGTTTGCATACTTTGTTTCTGACATCACGAAGGTTTTTTCAGTTAGGTTGGAAAGCCCATTGCTGTCCTTGGTATAAGGCAAGTTCTAGAAGTTCAGGCTCACCTCATACTTAATTGGCTGTATTTTTTTTCAGTGCTCTGCAGACCATCTTCCCCAGTAAAAGGAACTTCATCTTATCTCGTTCAACTTTCGCTGGATCTGGCAAATTTGCTGCTCATTGGCTGGGAGACAATGCAGCCACATGGGATGACCTCCGGTGGTCAATCCCCAGTATCCTTGAATTCAACCTATTTGGTATTCCCATGGTACGCCTCATTCCAACCAAGGAAATGAACCCTTTGTCCTTTGAAATGCTTTCCATCACCAGTCTTTGAGGATGTTTGAAAACTAAGAAGCATATGTCCTGTTGTGATAAGTATTAGAAAAATCAATTTCTGTAATTGATCTGCCTTTTAAAAATCAGACGATAAACCTTTATCATTAGGGGATCTGATTTTTTTAGTTTAATATACATTCTAGATATTAGTTCTCTGTCTGAAAAATAGCTGGCACTATTTTTCCCATTCTGTAGTCTATCTTTTCACTCTGTTGGTTGTTAACTTTGCCATACAGAAACTTCCTAATCTGATATGATTGCATTGGTTGATTCTTAGTGTTATTTCTTGTGCAAATTGGGTTCTATTCAGAAAGTCTTTGCCTATGCTTATGTCTTCAAGAGTTTTACCTATTTTCTCTTTGATCATATTATTACTCTTTTAACATTTAGATCTTTGATGCATTTTGATTTTAGTTTAGTCTGTGATGGGAGATATGGATCTACATTCAATCTTCTGCATATGGATAACCAGTTTTCCCAGTTTAATCCATGGAATCTCTGGAGATAAGAAACAGACACCATGAATAAAATATATTAGTATTGACAGAAAAGTCCTATGCAGAGAGCATCACAGAATAGGGGAGTATGAAACTGGGAACTGGCAAGCAGCCTCTTTCCCTCCCTTACATTGTAAACAGGCTACCCCCACCCAGGGAGCAGGTAGCACTCACATAATCTCCATGTCCTCGTCTTCCACAGACTCAGGGTGTATACAAAGTAATACCCTGGCTCCCTGCTGAGTCTCTTAGCCAAACCTCTAGATTCCCCAAGTTGACACAATGTACCAACCATAACAACTCAGTTGGCTGCAACCATTGTCTATAAACAATGCCTACACCATCAGTCAGTCTTCTTCTAAGTCTGTTCTATGATGTATACGTCTCTTCTTCTCTTATGCAGTGGGAGGCTTGTCCTGGGACTCTGGAGTCTCCTTAAGTATTGAGTGATGGCAATAGAGATTCTCTTCTATCATATAAGAAAACAGTCAGTGCTTTTACTTAGTGGCCACTGTTCCGTATGTGTGCTAATTCTCTAGGTAGGTGCTAACATCTGTGGTTACACAAGAAATGTCACAGAAGAGCTCTGCAGAAGGTGGATGCAGCTAGGAGCATTTTATCCACTATCAAGAAATCACAATGGACCTGGTTTCCGTGTAAGTTCCCCAAGAGCAGTGATAAAAGCTTTTTGGATTGTATAATCTATTTGTTTGCAAAGGGGGAGGGGGTTGAGGAAAATGCTACTGGTTGGCCCTAACTGCAGAAGAAGGATAATATTGGGTGATAAAAAGCAGATATCAAAGTTTGTTAAAGTTTCTATGGTGCTTCTGTTACTCCCAATATCATCTCATAGGAGATTTGTTTTTTACTTCAGTTAATACAAAGGAGATTACCATAATATTGGGCAGTGAGGAGGAAAAATTTAGGGAGAGGCAGGTCAGTGATTTGAACAATCTTAACTTTGTTGGGACAGAACAGAGCACCTTTTATGAATAGTGTCTTGGTTACTTTTCTTTTGTTTCTGGGACAAAATACCTGACACCCAAAATTAAGGAAGGAAAGGTTTATTTCGCTTACAGTTTGTGGAGATTTTAGTCCATACTTGGCAGATTACAAGGCAGAATGGCACATGGCAGAGAGCTACAGCTCATGGCGGCAGAACACAGCAAAAGCAACAAGCACACACCAGGGCAGAATGGCCTCAAGCACCCTTTTCCTCTTCCTTACATATGCAAACTATCCACCCCAGGGCTCTCACACCCATAATCAGTCAAACTCTAAAAGCCTGCCCCATGGCATGAGGCATGAGGCTTTGGGGGGACACCCAGACACAAACCATAACAAATAGTTTGGGAGATACCACCTAACAATCCCCTAACACACAGATACTACTTCCCATGGTCCATCTCACCTTTATCCTCTGTATCCAAAATAAAATTTTTGACACGCAAGTATGCCAAGTCCCTCTTGAGGTATGTATGGCTATCGCAGGAGCAAGTAAGGTGGGGTTCCTTTCTTTAAATAAAATAATCTACTACTGAAATACTTCAGATTGAATTATTTAACTTTTAATAGACTCATTAGAGTAATTTCCTAGTGATAATTTTAGCTCCATCTTTCAGCTTTGGCAATGAAAATTGTCGAACCTGGAAGGATTAGCAATAAAACTTTCAAAATGTTTTATCTTTGGGCTTTCCTACCCACTCCTAGTCTAGGGAGAGAAAGAGATGAACTATTTCTGATTGTCCAAGTGGCTGGGAGCAGGTAAGGCAGGTGCTCTTCATGGAGAGATGGCCTAAAGATTTGTATAATAAAAACACTCAGCACATGCAGGTGGCTAGGTTAAAAAGTGCTAGTTTTCTTTTTTCTAATCCATCTCTTTCTGAAAGAATTATCATAACAGCCACATATTTCAGTTCATATTTAAATGTAGAAAGTAAAATGACATAGAGGATATTTAAAATATGTTTATGTAACAGTATATTCATATCATTATCATTTCAGTCTGTGTTTAACACAGGCTACTATTGGCTATTTTATATTTTTTTCTTTCTACCAACTCTTCAAAACTCAGCATGAATTTTACAATTTTATCACATCTTTGTATTTTGCATTTTCAGCAGTTAAATGAAATATAATGCTATCAAGATAATGGCATTTGATGGGAATACTATTTTACATCAATTCAGTCATTAAATATATACTTAACCACAAGCCAATAAAGTGAAACGGTTAGTCCCTCAGTCTTACTAATACTTTTTAAGTGTCCAATAAGATCTACATAGACTGTGACCACCACAGTGGGGCAGCTCCTGTCTGTGTCAGTGGAGAACCAGAGTGACTGGTGCTATGGAATATTGTTTTCTTTTGTTTCATCTCAGAAGTTTCATGAGCCTTGTATTGCGGGCAGAGAGTAAATCTATTAAGTGAGAGGATGGGCACTTTAGGGAGTAAAATAAAGAAATAAATTCAGACAGTTTTCTCCAAAATTTAGAACCAAAAAATACAGTCTAAATATAGCATGAGTATCTTTCATATCTTTCACATTATAAAGAAAATGAGCAAGATGAGTGCCAGCCATGTGTGGAAAATTTCTATCTCCTGGTTATAAGAAAATTAGCTTTCTCTTTAAAGGGTTTGGATAAAATCTGTTAAAACCTGTTATGCTTTCTTTACATATTGAATATTGTAGAATAAATAGAAGCCACTATCCTCGGGATAGAAAAAACAAAACAAATTGTGATAATGAAAATATTACAGAAGCAAATGTCTAGTTTTATTGTGACATAAATTTTTTAAAATGGAGCATTCATTAAACTGCATGGAAAGGAAAAGATGAATTATAGATCATGGAAGCAGGCAATGTGGCTTAGAAAATGGATTTGGAACATTTTTAGCTGTCTAGCTAAGTTTAATAGAATTTATTAGTATCTTCCAAGTGAGATATGAAAATCCACATCAAATAAATTGAGGTGGCTCTGGAAGGTGCAGGGCCTACTATGGCCCTTTTATATACATGCCTCCTTTGTCATTCTGGGACTGATGTAGTTTGCCTTCAGTAGACATGTGTCAAGTGAAAACTCTGCCACCTACCTGTAATTCTACATGAGGAAAGTCATACAAACTTTTATTTGCTTTCTCAGTTGTAAAACGAAGGAATAGGACCAAGATCCTTTCTGTTCTGGAAACACTGTTGATGTTTTTGAGGTTGGAGAACATGGCTATTTCCATTGGGAAAGTTTCTTATTGTAAGAGAACTTTTAAACTATAATAAAAAGAAATAGTAATTGCTTCCACTTACTTCTAGGACCAGGACCCAGCTGCCTTTGGGTTTGACTCTCTGCTATTGAATTCCTCCAGACATTATCTGAATATCCGCTACATGTTGCTGCCTTATCTCTACACCCTCTTCTACCGTGCTCACACTCTGGGGGAGACGGTAACAAGGCCCTTGGTGCATGAGTGAGTTTCCTGATCACACTCACCAGGAGTGTACAATTTCACTTTACTTTGTTAGTGGTAACAAGTTCAGCTAGGACACACTGTGCTCTTGTCCTGTGTTAGAAATTCTAAATTCATCATCCTGCTTTCTGTTTTCAAGGTTCTACAATGACCCAATCACATGGGATGTGCATGAGCAGTTCTTATGGGGGCCTGGACTCCTCATCACGCCTGTTTTATATGAAGTAAGTTTGTAATCTAAATAATGGAGTGGAGTACTGCATTTATCTTCATGGCTATGTAGCTGAATAAGCTAGATCCTGAGTATCCATGATTACATTGAAATCTAAAAATGAATATAAATGAGAGATCATGACAGTTTAGAAATGAAATCAATAGTAACTCTTGGTCCCAGCATCCCAGAAAATAAACAATTTCCATTTATAAAACTGCCTCAAATCCTGAGTCCTTAGGCACATAGCTGTGACACTGATATGGCCTTTAAGTGCTTTCTTGTTTGTGTACTGACCATCTGTCTGTGCTTCCTCGACCACATGGTTTGTTTTCTGAGAGTTCGGTTGGGTTGGAAAGAGAGGTTAGTTGTGAAGAGGAGCAGGAAGTAGGGTGAAGACCATGTATAAAGGACCACATGCACCTAACCTAAGAGTGATTTAAGGCAGCAAAGAAATGAGAAGTATAGAAGAAGGATCAGGATTATACTAATCAGCCTCTGGTGTAAAATATTGCCAATGTATGCATGTTAAGGTCCTTTAAGCTGGTGTTTTAGGCATGTTGTCTGATGACAGGTCCTGCTAACCAAGAAGTAACCCTGCTGGAAAACTTCTCGGGGGCTCGCTAGTTCAGTCCCTTCCTAACTCTCAGCTTGCATTATCCAGTGAATGAACTCTTTGTGTTTCTCCCAGAAAATTTAAGAGTATTAATGCAAAACAAACTTGATATCTAGGTATAGCTTTGCTTTGAAAAATTTCCCAACCTCTATAAATTTCTGTATTTTCAAGGGTAGAATGGGATGACCCCAGTTCTGCTTTAGAATTGTTCAGATAACCATGTACAATGAAGGTGTTCTATACACTGCAGAGGGGGGTGCTAATGTGTGTACTGTTTTTATCTCAACAGGGTGTGGATCACTTGAAAGTTTACATACCAGATGCCATCTGGTATGACTATGAGACTGTAAGTGAAGTGGTCCCAGTTCTCTCTCTGAGATCTCTCTCTCTCTCCGAGATCTCTCTCTAGCGGAGGGCAATTCTAAACCAGCAGCTTTGGGAACCTGGGGTAGGATAATACTACAAAGTTTTACATTCAGCTTATTGTGGGTACTTTTCTCTGAGCTGTCTTAGTGCGTTAGAAGAGTGTAACAAAATACCTTAATTATACTGGGTAATTAGTAAACCACAAAAATTTATTGCTAGTGGTTCTGGGGGTTAAAAGTCCAAGGTCAAGGTCCTGGCAAATTCAGGTTCTGGTGAAGGCTCATTTGCTTTATCAATGGCAACTTCCTACAGAGTCTTCATGACTCAGTCAGTCACCCAAAAGCCCTATCTTGTAATGCCATCACAGTTGAGTATTAGGTTCCAGTGAATTTTTAGGGAGGCATCAACATAGCAGAAGACCTTTCCAAATATACAGTGAAATTATTTAATATCTCAAATAGGTTTATGGAAATTCACTGTATCAACCTGGTTACTGTTTAGCTATTAGCACTAGTTACTGGCCTTTATGATAACAGAGAATTCAAGGTCAGTTGTGAAAATAGTGTGTTAGTCAGAGTTCTGTCACTGTAGCAAATACCTCTGGTGATCAACTTATAAAGAAAATGTTTATTTGGTTTGGGAGGCTCCAGTCCTTGATGGACTGACCTTTTTGCTTTGGGCCTAACACAGCACATCATGATGGCATTGTATGTTGGAGTAAAATCACTCATCTCATTGCCAGGAGGGAGAAGAGAGAAAGAAGAAAAGACTGGGGTCCCACAGTCCCCATGGAAGACACACCCCCAATGACCTAAAACTTCCCATTAGGCCCCACCTCTTAGGGATTCCACCACCTCCGAACAGTAGGAAGCTAGGGACCAAACCATTAACACATGGGCCTTTGGGGAACATGGAAGATCCAAACAGTATCATAGAGTGTGGTGAAAAGGAAAGAAAGCAGGTGGTTAGAGTTTGCGCTCTACCGTCTGCTACATGCATACCTCGAGGAAGTCACTTCACTTGGAGGTCTTCAGTCTTCTCTTCTTTAAGATTAGGCAACTGAGCCAGATGATTTCTAGTACTTCCAAGCCCTCACAGTCAGTTATCTGCTCTGCCTCCCTTGTTTCTGATTAGGGAGTGGCTGTTCAATGGAGGAAGCAGTTTGTGAATATGCTGCTCCCAGGTGACAGGATAGGGCTCCACCTTCGAGGGGGCTACATATTCCCCACCCAGCAGCCAAGCACAACCACGGAGACAAGGTAAGCTCCTGTTTGTTTTAACTCTGGTGCTCTACTGTGCAGGGCATTATTGAGGGAGGCAAGCAGGACCAAGACTGAATGGCCAGGGGAAAAGTTCTACTCAGAAATCCTCTTCTCTTTTCAAAATTGGTTCAGAAAAATTGGCATCTGAGTCCTCTTTTGTGGAGATAAATGTAGCTGCAGTTCATTTTCATTCCCATAGTTCTTCACATTTGGATTAAATTAGATTATAGGACAAGAGTCATCATCCATGAGGATTTATGTGGTTAGAAATTGTCCTTAGGTATATTCCCTAGTGCAAGAGAGACTGGAAATTAAATGGGAGATAAGTTATATGTGAAAACCAATATAGCTTGGAGTTTAAGGGCTCAGCTTTTAGAGACAGTTTGAGTTTAAACCCTGGGTTTATGGCATACCAAATAGGTTAATTGTGGACAGCTGACTTTGCTGTGCCTAGTATTAATATAGTATATAAGTATATACTATTATATAAAAGTATAAACTATATGTAAATATTATATATTATATAAGTATTATATAGTATAGTATACTATTATATATACTATTATATAAGTATATAGTATTAGTAAACTAGGGAGGATATTAATCTGACTTTTAAGCATTAGTATGAGGATTAAATGAATGAATATAAATAATAACATGTGTGTATGTATGCATGTACTGTATAAGATACTTAGAGAATATCTAGTACATGGTAAGCACTCAGTAAAATACTCAGAATAATCACAAACCCGGATTTCAGCAGGAACTGCCTCCCTCTATCATTCTCCTTATGCTTTCTCTACTAAGCTCTGCTCCCTGTCTATACCCAACTCGTGTTTCCATACAGTGTTACTATTTATTCAGTCTCTGAGGTAGATTCTGGGGGACCAGTCCCCAAAATCAAAAGGTCTGATTTTGCATGCTTCCATCTGTTCTTCATTCTCTAAAACTGGGAATTGCTCTTCTCAGCCGGAAGAATTCTCTGGGACTCATTGTTGCCTTGGACTATAAGAGAGAAGCAAAAGGACAGCTGTACTGGGATGATGGTGTGGCGAAAGGTAGACTTCTTCATGGGGCCATGGCTGCCACTAACGAGTTATCCCTGTTATCATATCATTTATTTCTGTAGCTTAGAGTCAGTGAGTCAAAGGTTATTCTGAAAGTTTTGTAAGCCAAATGAATGGATCAAAATACACTTCAAATGTACACCTTCTGTGTTATTGATGCTACAAACCAACAGCCGTTACTGCATTCAGCTTACTTATTCTCTCCTGTGGATTTCATCATTAAGACAAAGAAATGCATTTTGTTAAAAGCTTTGTAAAAGTGCTGCTTCAGAGACAAATGAAGTAGAAATTTCTAGTTTGTAGTGGTTTTTTTTTTCCACTGTAGTGATTTCACATTAAAACCTTACGTAAGCTCATAGTTTGTCATTACATAAAAATCCTGCCCTGGGTTTTTAGATAGAATTAGATAAAGAGCAAAATAAAAGATAGATAATAGGAAGTGGAGAAAGAGATCTTTGACAAATGGTCAGGGAATCAAGAGATGGAGGGAATGAAAGGGAGGGGAGTGAGAGTAGATGAATAAAAGAATTAAGATGTGTTAAGAACATGTTCCAGCTTCACAAACGAAATGTAAACATGTACTATGAACATGCAGTAATAAAAATAAATATACAGATAAAAGAATTAGAATGCATTAATGTTTATTTACCATTTATGATTTCATTTATGCAATGGATATAAAGATGAAAATGGCATAAATGATGCCTTTGAGGAATTCATCCGCAGTCTAGTGCAAAAATTATAATCTGCATGTAGATACCTATAGTGCAAGTCAAAATGTTATAAATGCCTGAAAAATGGTAATACAAGGTGCCATGAGTGTACTCACAGTCCAAGTGGTCCAGGGAAATTTTGTGCCAGTTGATAAAAATGGACAGATCTTGGATGAGAAGAAGGAGAAGCAAAGGTAATTTAGAGGAAGAGGGTGACTCCCCAGTTCCTCTACTTTCTCTACTAATGGGTACATACGTCTTTCTCTTTCAGATGCTGTAGCTAAAAAGCAGTATATTCTGTATGATTTCTCTGTTACTTCTGTAAGTACTGACTTCAAGGAACATATATCTCCTATGAGATGTTGCTGATTACTTTTTGAGTTTTTGTTTTTGTATAGATGTGTGCCTATGTGAAATATGGACAGTGCTTGATTTTGTTGGTCCCAGAGAGGATTCTAGTTGGCATGAAAATGCTTAATCCATATCACATATGTGAGTTCTGTGCTGAAATTGTGTCCTGCCCCTTGGAAAAAATCACTGCCTTTGACCTTTATGTGAGGGGTTCTGACTTTCAAAATACATCATTGAGGAGTGCAAGTATACAGTGTGAGTGTGGGTGAGGAGTGAAATATCTTTTTGTTATTAGTACACATGGTTGTGATACATAATGATTATATTTATTGTGGCTAGTTGGTACACATACAAGACACATATTAATTCTTTTTTACTTTAAAGGTAAAAGAACAAAAACATATTAACAAACACATACATTTACAACATAACACAAAAACAATACAAGCAATACAGAATTTCAAAGATGATAGGAAATTAACAATGGTTATTGCATTATATATTGTTATCTTCAAATTGGTTACTCAGATAAAAAAATATAGGCATGTAAGATTGATCAAACAATTAAACATTAACTGTTCCTTTCAATGAAGCAATAGAAATCAGTAGTACAATTATCATAGCTATCCTGTGTACACATATATACATATTTTCTCTTCTTTCTTTTTTTTTTTCTTTTCCCTCATCCCAGTTGATCTTTCTTTTTGAGCAGTTTACTTCCCTTTCACAATATCTATTGTACCTTTTAGATTTTATTCACTCTTTCGGGTTCTCACACTAGTGAGACAATATGGTGTTTACACATGCAGGTCTGATTTGTTTCACTTATGAGTATCGTGTCTAGTTGTGACCACTTACCTGTAAAAACCTTGAGTTTATCTTTCTTTATAGCTGAGTAATATTTCCTTATATAAAAATACTACAACTTTTTTAGCCATTCCTAGTTGATGGGAATTTGTGTTGCTTCCATATTTTAGCTATTACAAATTATGCTGCTGTAAACATGGGTGCACATATATTGCTGTGGTATGTCTTCTATTTCACTCATTCATCTCTTGGGTCATTTTCCATTTGCAAAATATCTATCTCTCCTGTTTACTTTCATATAGCTTGTATTTTGCTCATTTATTTATTTATTTACTTATTTATTATACTTTGAATTTCTCGTATAAGAAGAACCACATGATATTTAAGCTCATGAGTAGGATTTATTTCACTCAGAATAATGGTTTCAAGGTGCATCTGCTTTCCTACAAATGGCTCAAATTTGTCCTTCTTTATAACAGAGTAGTACCTTATTGTGTATAAGTGCCGTATTTTCTTTATCCATTCATCTGTTGATGGACATATTAGCTGCTTCCAAGATTTCGCTACAATGAGTTGTGCTGCCATAAACATGAGTGTGCATGTGTCACTGTAATATGCCTTTAACTCTTTCAGAAAGGTATCTAGAAGGAGAATCGCTGGGAATTTCTATGAAATTTCTATGCTAGTTTGTGGAGGAACCTCTACACTGACTCCACAGTTGTAGTCAATGTATTCCATCAGCAGGAGAAATACAAATTAAAACAACACTAATATTCCATCTTACTCCAGAAAGAGTAGAAATCATCAAGAAATTAAATAATAACAATTGCTGGTGAGGCCGTGAAATACCTTTTTGAAATGCTTTTTCTCATTTTAGTCCCTAGAACTTGGCTTTGGACACAGGCATAACCTGGTAGCTTTGAAAAGCTGATCATCATTTACTTCATTTCTATTTCGCAAGGGACCAAGAGCACAAGGGTGCAGGACTAGTAGAAAAGGGAAGAATTCTAATTTGCTTCTCTGAGAAATCTGGTCATGTCTGGGTAGGGGTTTATTTTTTTAGGGATTGTTATCCCTTATTTCTATGTTCTTTCTGATAAATTCTTTTTCTAAACTTTTAATTTTGAGGTAATTAATTATCCCCACGCTGTTGTAACAAACAGTGAAGAGTTCCCATGTGGCCTTTGTGCAGATTCCCCTACTGACAGCAACTTAGCAGAATGCAGAGCAATTTCACAGCCAGGATATTGGTATCAATTTTATGAAGATGTAGAACGTCTCCACAAAGATCCTTCCTGTTCTCATATCGGCTTACCTCCTGTCCTAGCCTTTCTGTTGGTCCCTGGCAACCACTAAACTGTTCTCTGTAATTTTGTCCTTCCAAGAATGCTTATATAAATGGAATAATATGGCATTTATATAGGCATATGGCATGTAAAACCCTTTTATCCAGCATAATTCCTTCAACATTTTACCAAGTTGTTGTATTTTTTTTTTATTTTTAAAAAGCATTCCAAGGTATCTGTATATCACCTTTTTTTCAATGCTCATTTGATCAAGGGAATCTGGTTCTTTTCAGTCATGGACTACTCTAATTAAAATAAAAATGCTATGAAAACTCATGTACAGATTTTGGTATGAATACAAATTTTAGTTTTCTCAGGTACAAATGCTCAAGTGTTCAGTTGCTGGTCTTACATTAGCACATGTTTAGTTTTATAAGAACCTTGCAAATTATTTTCCAGAATGGCTGTGCTGTTTTACATTTCCACCTGCAATACCTGGATGGTCTAGTTTCTCTGCATCATCTCCAGCATGCAATGCTGTCACTACTTTTCATGTCACCCATTCTGATAAGTGTGTGATATATATCTTTGGGACATTAGTTTGTGTTTCTCCAGTGTTTCATGGTGCTGGAAACCTTTTCATGGGCCTGTTACCATTTGCATTTCTTTTAGGTTAAGTATCTATTCAGTTATTTCACCAGTTTCTACTTGGATTATTTGGCTTTTTTTCCCCTTAACTGTTAAGATTTGAAAGTTCTTGTACATTTTCAATAGTAGTCCTCTGTTATATACATGGTTTGCAAACTTTTTCTTCTATTTGAAGGCTTCTGATTTCATTTTCTTGACAGAGTCACAAGATTAATAAATCTTAGTGGGTATAACTTATCATTATTATATTTTATGAATCATGCTTTTTATTATCATATCTAACAGGCTCTAGATTATCAATATTTTGTATTTTTTCTAAAAATGTCACAGTTTTCCCTTTTCCATTTAATTGTGCAATTATTTTGAGTTGATTTCTGTGTAAAATGTGAGATTTAGATCAAGGCTCTTTTTCTCCTTATGCACAGCCTTTGCTCTAGATCTGTTGAAATGACTTTTTTCTCTGTCAAGTATTTTACAGCATATTTGTGTGGAAGTGATATTCTGTGTAATCATTGAAGTGTGTCTCTCTTTTTAAAAATCTTTTTTAAAATTTTATTTTAAAAAGAGTAGTAAATGAGAAACAAACAAAATAACAACAGCAGCATACCAGTATCACAAACATAAACAAACCAAAGCAAGAACATTTAAAGTGATACAGGGTTTCAAGACAAAATAATATGAATTAACAGTGGGTGTTATATTACATATTGGTGTCTTTGACTATGTTGCTCAGATTACCAGATTTAAGAATGGAAGATTGTTGAAAGCATTAAAGAGAAAGAAAATAATTATTAGATAAAACATTAGTGATAATACAGAGTTTCACTAGACAAGATGGTAAGAATTCACCATGGTAATTCTATTACATACTGTTACCTTCAAATCTGTTGCTCAGATTACCAGACACAAGCATGCAAAATTGATCAGAACATAAAAAATTTTAGGCATTAATTGTTCCATTCAATATACCATCAGCAATATAGTTATCACATCTATTCTTATGTACATTTATATTTAGCCTTCCTTCTCTTTTCTTTAGTATTCATTTATACTTTCATCTTTGTCTAGCTCAGCTTTACCACTTTTGAACTCTGGTTCTCTAAATAAGTCATTTTAACTTCTCTGTGCTTCAGTATCCTCACCTGAAAAGTGGGAAATTTTTCATCTTAACCCCACAGTCTGCAGGGAAATTTGAATGAGATAATACCTAGAAAATGCTTAGCACAGTTCCTGGAACATAGGGGCTTTCATAAATTTTAACTCTTACCTTTACTAATAAAGTAAAAGAAAACAATATTTAGGTACTTTGTGTATGAGGTGTGATCAAAACATATGGTACATGTTTTTAAAATTCAAAACATTATTACAGTAAAAGACACATTACCATTAATCTCCCTCAAAATACCTCCCCTTTCTTTGAACACACTTATTCCATCATTCTTCCATTTTCTGAAGCATTTCTGAAAGTCCTATTTCCTGAGTGTCTTTTGATGGTTTGCTCTATGTGCTGAATTAATTCAAAACATATACATCAACTTCTGTCAAATAAAAACATTACACTGTATCCTCACACACCTTGTTCACTGGATCTTGCACTGTATGATTCCTTACCAAAGTTAAAATGATCTTGAAAGATAAATGAATTGATTCAGGAAATCAAGGCAGCCAGGACAGCACAGCTAACGACACTCATGAAAGAGGACTTCCAGAACTGCTTCAGAAAGTGGACCAAATGTGTTTGAAGTGAGAAATATTTGAGGGGAATTCATGGTAATGTGTCTTTTAAAATTATTTAAAAAAATATAAACATTCATCGTGTTTTGTGATGACATCTTGAATGTGTGTGTCTTTATCTTTGTGTTAGTGGATCACCGGGTGTACTTCTGCCTTTTGGTTTGCTTTCTAAATAACCATTATATCCACTTAAACTCCCATAATGTCAGCATCATATTATCTAAGTAATAGCATGCAATAAAGAACCAGTGAACCCAAGCAAACATGAAATAGTATTAAAACCTTTAGGATATCCAGAGCCTGAGTCAGTGAGAGTCACCTGAGAGTGACTCTGAGAGTCACCTGGCAGCATTAGAGAAAAAGATAAAGCTTTAATTTTAGCATATTTACTACCAAAGTGAGCACAGGAAAAGCTTCAGATCTCAGAAAGACATTGTATGTGATGTTCCTAATCTCTAAACTGACTTTTTTTTTTAGAACCGTCTACAAGCAAAGATTACAAATAATAATTACGTGGACCCCAACAACCTCACATTTACAAATATCAGAATCCTCGGAATGGACAAGGAGCCAACTAACTTTACTGTCTTATCTAACAGTGCTGCCATCCCCATTTCAAGCATTGTCTACAATGCTTCAATACAGGTGAGGGATTCTTCCATCATATAGGGCCCTCACAGAAAGCCTTCGATTGAGATTCTGACAGGGTGCCTTCCTCATCCTTTTGATTTCAGGCACACACAAGAATAACTATCTTGTTGGAAGAGCCACCATATCACAGGGAGATGGTAGAGGCAACTTGTGTATGCAAGTATGGTCCCCTCGACTTGTGTGTATTGGGGCTGTGAAGAAGACAGAGTTGGGAATTTAAGAGAATGGAAAGTGCTTTCTGCCAATTTTAAAGTACACAGGCTGATTCCACAGTAACAGAGAAAATACTGGTCCATACATTGACCTAGTTCTGGAGAGTATCGACCTTCTTGTTACTGGGACCAAATACTTAATACCACAATTTAATGAAGGAGAGGTTTATCTGGCTTGTGATTTCAGAGGGTTCAGTCCATGGTCAGAAAGATCTAAGGCAGAAGTGGCATCGTGGAAGGGTCTGACAGAGAAGAACTGCTCAACTCATGGTAGCCAACAAGCAGAAGAGAAGCAAGATCAGAGATCCAAAGTCATGATTCTGTGGCCTACTCCCACCTTCAGCCAAGCCCCACCTCCCAGCTGCACATTGAGCTATGAACTCATCGGTGAAATAATCTGTTGATGACTATAGCACCCCCATAATCAAGTTACCTTCCAAAGGCTCCACCTCTGAACATGTGAAATTTGGGAAACAGTTTTGATCTAAACCATAACACACACATCTGTCCTTACATTGAAATTACATACTCTGAGACACAGTTGATATTTTTTCTTAGTGTTTAAACAATTTTTATACCATTACAGAAAATCATAATGAGAGAAAACACAAGGGATAACATAGTTTTGGTATTACTGAGTTATTCAGACAGAAGATTATACTTATTAGTTGACTATTCAGATACAGAGAAGGTAATTGTGTTTTAGGTCCACTACTTTCCATTTTGAAAATACATATAGTAGAGGATAAGGGCTTTTTTTCTAGGGCTAGGTAGAATAAGGTTCTAGTCCTAGCTATGCTGTCTCTAGTTGTGAGATCTTGGGTGAGGTATTAAATCTTTCCAGATCTTTGTGTTCTGTAAAATGGAGACAGCAACAATATTCACAGCATGAGATCACTTTACAGAATTACTGGAGACAATGCTTATTGAGTGCTTATCACAGTACTTGGCTCATATGAATGCCCAGTAAGGGTTAGTTGTTGCTATTATTTCCATCACTATTCAAATGAATAAGCATCACACCAAAAGAACAGTCAGTCTAAAAATGACAGCTGCATGTGTTATTTGCACTCTTTACCATGGTGCAAGAACTTCTCATTCCTTATATCCACAATGACTCCACAAGATGAAAAAGGTCAGGAACATGTTAGCTCCAAATATTGCAAAGTGGTATTGGAGGAAAAACTAGGTTTTCTAATGTTGGCATCCAGATAAACAGGAAAGGACTTTATCCAGGAGGTTCCACTTCACCTCGTTCGTTACCAGTATCACCTTTCTCTTTTCCCAGGTGGTGACCATCACTGATCTGAAGGGACTGGCCCTGGGACAAGAATTCTCTATCGAATGGAATCTGCCAGTCAGTGACCTGGAGAAGTTCAGGTGCTACCCGGAGAATCCAGTTTCTGAGGAGAGCTGCAGGCAGCAGGGGTGCCTTTGGGAGGTAATGATCAGGAACAGTAATCATATTGAGTTACAAAAATGGCCTGATAAGTATCTAGGAACTTAGGAAACTCGTTACACATGTTGATGGCTTGAGATATATCACAACAGTGTGCCGATATGCATTTTGTCAACTCTGCATGATGGGTGATCAGTATTTCCGTCAGAAGAAACTCATGTCACTCTCATTGTCTCTCCAGGCACATCATTCAAAATCCTATTTGACTTAATAGCACATGTTGGGTGTGCACTTTGTACTGAGTATTTTAAGTGAATTTGTTTTTCATTTATCTATTGGAGAGCCCAAAAGAATGGTAAGCTAAGGCTCCAGTTGAGCAATACAGAGAATGAAAACCAGGAAAAGGTAGCAATTCCCTCATGACTGGGTCAGGTGCAGTAAGTACTCTGGCAGTAGGACCCTGCCTGTGGGAGTCTCGAAGTGTAAGATGAAGGTGTCGGGACTGCTTTCATCTGAGGACTGTGAGGAAGCTTTTTCCGTGTTTTATGCTTAGCTCTTGGCAGTGTGCTGGCAACATTTGGCATGTGTTAGCTCGTACCTGCATCACCCGGATCTCTGCCTTCACCGTCACATGGTGTTCTCCCAACCTATAACAATGGGTAAACTGTCTAAGACTGGGTCTGTGTTAGCCAGCTTCTTCACTAATTAAAGTCTTATTGGTGTCAGAGTCTAACCAAAGATTCCTCCTGTTGTTCCAGCACACAACTACTCCTGGCGTGCCCAACTGTTACTATGACACCATCCCTCGCTATGCTGCCAGTAACATTCAGTACCTGCCCACAGGCATCACCGCAGACCTTAGCCTCCTGGAGACCCCAGCATCTACACGAGCAGGAGCAGCTCCACTGTCACCAGAAGCAGCCTCTATTGTCCCTCTCTCTGGAGAGATCAGTTCCCTCAAACTGGGTGTGGTCTACCACACAGAGAACATGGTGCAGGTCAAGGTAATTCCCTTGCTGTGGGTCTCATTCTCAGAATGGCGCTTCTAACTTATAGGTACAGTTCTGTACAGAGGGAAGTCAATGAAAGAACTTTTGTTCAAATCCTTCATTTACTCAGGCAGGGACTGAGGCTTAGAGGGGTAAAGGCCAGAAAGCTAGTGGATGTGACCTTAGATCTATCACAATTGTGAGATTTCTATGGTGATGAATACTCTTTGAAGAATCAGCCCTTTGTCCACTTTGTGGTAAATACATGTGAAAAGCACTGGCTGACTTCCAACATTTCTAGCTATCATCTAATAGTGGCTTTCTAACTAATTTCCCCCTTCTGATATAGGTATTGAACCCTGGTCTCCTTCGTGCTAGGCAAGTGCTCTGTCATTGAGCTATGCAGCCCCAAACCCATTGGCTTTCAAACTTTAGCATGCTTCAGAATCACCCGCATCTTCTCAAAACCCGACTGTTGGGCTTCACTCAAGGTTTCCAGTTCTGTTAATCTGGGCTGGGCCAGTCTGAGAATTTGCATTTCCAATGATTCCCAGCCCACGCAGAGGCAACCTGCCAAGGGACCAGACTTTGAGATCTACTGCTCTGTTCTTATAATGCAAGCCACAAAAGTTCCCTAACAGGAGTATTTTTAAAAATATACTTGAAAAAAATCTAAGTGCAATTAATTTTAGCAATATTTTATTTGACCCACGTGCTAAAATAAATTTTGTTTCACCTTGAAATCGAAGTTTAATTATGGAGATATTTTGCAATTTTTTAACCTTGCTGTCTTCACATTCTAGTGTGTATTTTGCACTTACAATGAATCCCAATTTAGACTAGCACGTTTCTGGTGCTCAGTACCTGAGTGGGGCTGGTACAGACAGGCTTGGGCAGCTCTTCTCTCAACACTGCTTTTCTCATTTGAATGTATTGTGAGTCACCCTCCTGTGAGAATCAGGGTCTGGGTTAGGGGCTGAGCATCTACATTTCTAATAGGATCCCAGGCAATTTCTGCTGCTTTTGATTGCAAAATGGAGTTTTGAAAAACAGAGCTTTAGGAAAAAAACTTCACCAGAGCACAAGATGTGGGATAATGATAAACGGGAGAAGGGATGGTCACTTGTGATGGGGAGGCTGCCTGTCGTTTTGTTACACTTCACTCTACTTGTTTTTTTCTACTGACTGGTCCTGTTAGGGAAGGTGGAATGACTGCTGGATGCAAAAAAGAGGGCTTAGCAGTGGGGAAGCTGGACAGCAGGAAGTTCGAACATAAAGATGTCTCACTGTCCACATGAAAGCTCAATTCTCTGATTTCTCTCTCTCTCTCTCTCTCTCTCTCTCTCTCTCTCTCTCACACACACACACACACACACACACATACACACATAAACACACATGCTTACATTCAGAATCTTACCCAGTTACATGAACATAATATGTTTGTATAGCATGCATCCATGAACGCACATTTAACCTAGAAGATTCCACATGTTTAATCACAAGTTCTGCATAGGACATGCCATCACTGGTGTTAAATGGGTATTACGGAGGCATTTTTGAGGTTCAGGGTCTGGGTCAGACACAGTAGGATGGCAGGCCTCACATCTACTTACTTAGGGGTTTCGGATGCCTCCTGTTGTGCTTCAAACTAGTCAAAAAAATAGGAACTGATTATAGGGACTGGCATGAAAAGTTTGGGGTTTAGTATTCTATCAGAAAGAGTTTTCTTCCATCTCTTTGCAGATCTATGATTCCACTGATAAAAGGTATGAGGTTCCAATACCTCTGAACACCCCTCCCTCACCAGTTGACTCCCCTGAGAACTGCCTGTATGATGTCAGGATTCAGACCAATCCTTTTGGAATCCAGGTTCTACGCAAAAGCTCCGCTACTGTGATGTAAGCATGGCTTATGTGGTTCTAATTAGAGCGGAAATATAATTATACAAGTGAAATATTAATCTCAGAGATATCTACAATATAATTATGTGTGTTTGTTGAAGAGCATATCAATTCCCCCTACTTCATTAGGGAATTTATTTTGTATTAGTGATTAACTCAAAAATCAATCAAAGTTTTTAAAAAACTAAGTGTTGTTTGATTTCGGAGAAAGAAGATACGTGTTCTATTTGTTTTTGTTAGGTAGAATAGAAAATTGTTTAGTAAGTACAGCATGTAGCGTAAGATATGAGTCTGTTCTGTATTATGCTTCATTAAGAAATCATAACAACAGCTAGAGAGAGTGGGAAAGAGATTACTAAGGACAGAAAGGATAGTTTTTTCTAGTCTTTGCTTCGATCAATACCACAGACTTGAAGCCATTTAGTAACATTAAGCATGGGAGAAATTGTCAGTTATCTCCCACCCCTTGTCCTGCTGCAGCAGGTCTGGACTCTGCCTGGGGGAGGTTTCCCATCCCAGTTGAGCTTGTCACTTGTAGATACACTTGTGTTTCCTCTGTGTATGTCTTCTGCAATTAACTTTTTCTGTAACCCTCCTTAGTAAGTACTCTGACCAATCTAGAGAAGTTGTGCTAAGCATTTTACATTTTCCTATTGGAAAGCATTTTTTAGGCCTCATTCATTTGTTCACCTATTTTCAAGCTGGTATGCCAGGCACCGAAAACCAACATTAAAGAGATAAATGAGATACAGTCTTTGCTCACAATGAGCCCATGGCCCAGAAAAGGCGCTCTCAGCCCTGCAAACCACAGAATAAAAATACAAGCATGGAGCTTTAGCACAGAACTGTGGCGCTTGTTACAGCCAACATCATTCCACATGTTTGAATTTGCATCCAGATGTTCAATAAGCCAGGCATCTCAAATATACTCTGTGTTTGCCTGGTCAGTGATCTCCAGCTCAGCATGGGGTGTGCCTTGTGTTGCAGCTGGGATTCTCAACTCCCTGACTTCACCTTCAGTGACATGTTCCTTTCCATTTCCACTCGCCTCCCCTCTCAATACATCTATGGCTTTGGGGAAACTGAGCACACGATGTTCAGAAGAAACATGAGCTGGAACACGTGGGGGATGTTTGCCTGTGATAATCCACCAGAGGTAAGAACAGGAACAAAATTAGTAATCAGTTTCTCCTAAGCAAATTTGTTTTCTTTTGCCCACAAGTAGTACCCTATTCATCAGCTTTTCTTAGTGTTGATGAATTCCACTCTTGCTTGTAAGAGGCTCTTTTGTCTGTAGAAGATGTGCAGATATAGATTTGAAACTTTTATTTAACATATTACGTGTCCTGCGGATTGCTAAGTGCCTAGCTGCAAGTTTAATAAGATATCTTCCTTGCTCTTTAGAGGCTTACAGGCTAAGCCTGATAGGTGTGGAAATAATAACAGCACAGTACAATTGGTGCTGTGATAGAACTATGTAATAATGAAAGAGGGAGTACAGAGCGAGAGAATGCAGCTTTTTACTTGGGGTGGAAGGGAAGGTAAAAGAAGGCTCAGCTGAGAATGTGACATTGAATTGCATCTCTAGTGTTGAGTATGAGTTTGCTGTCTGGGTAATGATGTGAAAAGAGTTTACTAAAGTTTCACCGTGTTATCACCTCCTTGACTTTTTGTTACCAGTACAAGAAGAATTCCTATGGTGTCCATCCTTACTACATGGCATTGGAAGAAGATGGCAGTGCCCATGGAGTGCTCCTGCTGAACAGCAATGGCATGGGTAGGACAGAGGTTTCTTCCTCATACACTACCATCAGCAGTTGAGGCTGATCTATTGGGACCTGGGATATCATTAGAAATAAATTCAGGGGCAAAAATGATGGATAAATAAATTGATCTTCCATTCACTCATCCATTTATTCAAGATTTATTAAGTGCTTTGGATCACATCTTAAGTATCACAACTCGATACCATACTCATAAGTGAAATAAATCAGACCCGCATGTGTAAACAACATATTGTCTCACTACTGTAAGAACCTGAAAGAGTCAATAAAATTAGGAGGTATGACAGACATTGTGAAATGAAGGAAACTGCTCAAAAGTAAAGAGCAACTGGGATGAGGGAAAAGAGAAAAGAAAGAAGGGGAAAATTATGTGTATATGTACACACAGGATAGCTGTCATAGTTGTACTACTGACTTCTATCACTTTATTGAAAGTAACAGTTAATGATTAATTATTTGATTAATCTTACGTCTATATTTGTTTTCCTTAGTAACCACTTTGAAGAAATCAGTGTGTAATACAACAACCATTGTTAATTTCCTATCACTTTGTCTGAATTTTAGTATTGCTTGTAGTGTTCTCGTGTTATTTTGTAAATGTATGGGTGTTTGTTAATATGTTTTCATTTTCTATTTTTTAAAATTAAAAAAAGTATAACATTTTGAGTAACCATAGCCCCATATTTTACTGTGTCACTCTATCTTTTTTATCACAGAGTGATATAAATTGTTGAGATGGCAGAGTGTGTTCAGGATACCTGAAAATTCATGTCTAATTTTACTGGGTGAGAAATGGCTTATTAGAGGAGCCAGGCAGTAAGGAATGAGAGTAGAAATGGCAAGTTTGAGGGCAAATTCCCTAGCGGGGTTACTTACAGCTCTGTGGATTCTCGTCATCTATTTTCTGTTTTTTAATTTCACAGATGTGACACTCCAGCCCACTCCTGCCCTGACATACCGCACTGTAGGAGGGATTTTGGACTTTTATATGGTTTTGGGGCCAACGCCTGAGCTTGTAACTCAGCAGTACACTAAGGTTTGAAGCCATGCTGCCCACTAGTAAATCACTAAGTATTTATTGGGTATTGTAACCATGTTCTTAGTATTAAGATAAGCAGTTATTTTCTTTTTTAGCCAGAGGTGTCCCTACTCAATTGTTTCAGGATGCTAAAGGCATATCAGTGCCCCATGTGTCTCTTGATTGCTTTCTGGAGAGTCCATCTGAGAATCTATAATAAGAACAACCACTGAGTTCTTGGGCTTCCTAGAGTGAAGGCTCTGTAGAATTCAGGGAAACTTTCATTGTAATACTTCTACCATTCTGTATCTCCAAGATTGTTCTTACTTATTTGACTTTTTTATTTTTCTTGAATGGGAACTTGTAGATCAGACAGTACTCAGTAGAAATGGTGACTAGTTGCTTCAATTATAAACCAACCACCTTTTTCTTCCCTGAGAAGTTTACTTGACTCCATTTCCTTCACTCTTTAAAAAAATTGTAAATAATGTCTAGCATTTGTACATATTTCTGGAGTAGGATATAATTTGGTACACATGTTCAAAGTCTAATGACCAAAAATCAGCGTAACTACCATTTTTCTATTCTAGTTGATTGGTCGACCAACAATGATTCCATACTGGGCCTTGGGATTCCAGCTGAGTCGCCATGGATACCAGAGTGATTCGGAAATTTCCAATTTGTATGATGGAATGGTGGCAGCCCAGATTCCCTATGTATGAAACTCAGCTTTTATATCCTCACTCAGTTTCTGCTTTCTAGTTATGGAAATTTGTACGTTATGTTGAAACAGCTCCACAGAAGTTATTCTTCTTTAGTATAAAAAGTATAGTTATGGAGCTAGTCCTGTGTGGAATACATTGCGTTTTAGTATTACTACAGGCTACCCTTCAGATCAAAGCTCAAACTAAGAGTTGCATAATCCCTTCAGTGGTTGGTAGAAAGAGGATATAGGCACTCACTCCCTCTTACTGTGATATTCTGCAGTAGCCACAGCTGGGTTTAAGGAAGTGGGGAACTTGGAGAGATGGCCATAAAATGACAATATGAAAAGGAACACTTAGAAAGAAACCTTCATTTTCTCTAACACACCTACCCACATATGCTTCTATGCAGTCTAGTTCCCTAGAAAAGCCCTGAGAAGTATAGTCAATTGTCAACAAGCAGAATTGCCCAAATAGAATGCTCCTCTCTTAGTTTACTTCCTGAGACTGTGGGTGATAATTAATGATTAGAAGATGAAAACAAGGTGCTATGATAGGCTCATAGGAGATACTTTGACATGCTCTTATTACATACTTATTCAACAGAAATGAGAAAATACAGGAAAAGTACATGAACAAAAACCCATACATCTAGCTTATTAAAGTAACCTATGCTAATAATATGCTAATTCATTCTTGTTCAAGTTTTGGCTTATGCATAAGTCTCTCTTTCTCCAAACAAGTTTTACCTAGAGCCCAAGGCAATATAAATGATTATCATCTTCAGCCTAACGTTTCCTTTTTTCACTCTAATATTCACTTTGTTCTCTGTCATTCAGCAAACCTGGATTGAGTGAGTTTCATGTGCAGCAACCTGGTTTGGTTCTGTGCAAAAAGAGAATTCTTTATATATTCTAGAAAGCTATAAAATAATATAGCTCTAAAATGAATAATTTCAGTAAGCTACTGTAAAGAAAAGAAATCTATATATGCAACCTTGTTTGTTTCTTGAGAGAGTCTCCCATTCTATGCACGAACATGTCAACAAGTGGTTGGATGGGCTCACAAGTTTGAGATTTAAAGAGAAAGAGGACATGAATTAAGGGAGAGAAAGGGGAGAGTTCCAGGTGGGCAAACAGAAGGGAGAATTGGGATGGTGAGTGGAGAGCAGAAACAGAAAGCAATTTCAATGAGCAGAATTGAAAGGTTGGTGTAGGGGAGCAGTGAGATGAGAAATGAAGAGAACTCTGGGTCCTGGGTATGCAGCAGTGTCTGGAGTCTGGCAGAACAGTTACTGCTGCAGGGTCCTGGGGATCTTGCTTGCTCCTTCCCATAGGATGTCCAACATGTAGACATTGATTACATGGACCGGAAGCTGGACTTCACCCTCAGCCCCAGCTTTCAAAACCTTGGTCTCCTGATTGAGCAAATGAAGAAAAATGGCATGAGATTTATTCTCATTCTGGTAGGTATTCAGGCTGATTAGATGCCCTTTTTGGTTGCCATATTTATCATTCAAAAATAATAACACAGAAAGGAACCAGATAAAGGGTACCAGAAATCTTCCTGTACATTTTCGGTGATTTCTTATGAATCTATAATTAGATTTAAAGTTTGAAATAGCCAAGTAAAGAACAGTTGAAAATGGCTTTTAAAAGACAATGCTTTGAGATACTGTATTTATTTTTCTTAGCTAAGTATGACTGGAGTGTAATTCACTAGTAGAATGTAATTATGTTAGTAGAGTGAGAAGAGCTGTGGCAGAAACACTGAATATGTATAAAAAAGTGTCTCACTGATGCAAATTACGCCTTAGAAAGAATAGCTACATCTTTACTTTCACTCATCTCTCCTCAGGAGGTTCGAAATCCTTAGGTTGTATCATCACTCAGCAATGGTGAACCCCAGAGAACTTATTTCTCATTTACTATGCTCACAAACAACTGGGTGAAGATCCAGAAAACCGACTTATTATTTTGAATTAAAAGCTATATCTTGATAAATATGGAAGTAGTTAGCTGCAGATACTTTCTTTCTTCTAACTTCCAAAATTAGAGCATGGTTTATTGTTTGTTCATTAATTCAAGGATTTACTAATACTGGTCATTTGAAAATCACTGTTCTAGATATTGTGTGTATGTGTGTGTGTAGTTTAAATTAATGAGTAAGCCATTGTCTTCTTTCCTGAAATGATGTTTATTCTACTGGATAAAAACAACTGATATACAGATATTAAACACATAATTTCAGATAGTGCTAATTTGTATGACAATTATGAAGTAGCATAATATTGTAGGGGGATTTAGGGTAGGTATGTGATAGGATATACAAGATAGGCACTTTTAGATGAGCAACTTGGGCCACAGAATAGAATAAAAAAGTTTCATTTTCTAAGGACTATTGGTATTTTGTTCTTGAAATGCAATAAATTTGCTCTCTCTGCTTGAGGGCAATGTCTTATTAAACTAGTTTAGTTCTAGGGGTTGTTTTCAAACATTAGCAGTTTTTTTCTCAAGAATTTTAGAGAGAAAGTCAGTATATTCTTTTACCTCTGAACACACTCTCACTTAAAATATATTTCTATGTTATTGGAAGAATCAGTTATATCATGTCATATTTCAGTTGCTACAGGAGTTTTTCCATTTCATTAATTAAGCTCTAGATGGTTACTTTCTATAGTATAGAAAGACTCCATTATTTGTTGTCAGATTCTTAATGCCTTTGAAAAAGATTGTGCTTCGTAAGGGTCATGTATCTTATTTTGGGTGCCAATGACAACTTCACATTTCAGTTGGTTAAGGTAATACGCCATAGGTGTAAATCAAATTATCCAGGAATATTTATTTATTTCTATATTATGAATTATCATATTTATTGAGAGAAATATCCTCGGAGATGTTTAAAACCATCTCACTTTCTCTATTTTAAACACTTTCACTGTAGGACCCAGCCATTTCTGGCAATGAGACACATTATCTCACATTCACAAGAGGACAGGAAGACAACGTGTTCATCAAATGGCCTGACACCAATGACATTGTATGGGGAAAGGTAAGGCTTGGGGAAAGTGTCTATAATTAATCAAAATCTTTACTAAAAGATGTTTTCAATAAATGTTGGAAAATATGCATGGCAATAAATTATGAGAGTAAAGGAGTATCTGATGTTGATTAGTTCAATAAACACTAATAAGACAAGGGTTACAGATCTGATTTTCTAAAAGATTGAGTGCAATGTTATAGCCTGAAAATATTCTGATAGCCTCACTATTTATGTGTTCTAGCTAGCCATTTAACAAACATGAAGAACCTCTCAGAGAGTGACTCTGAAATCTGTGCTTTTCAGACACCTAAATTTAAAACAAGTATTCTCCTTTGACCTATGATGAGTAGTCAACCTTGTATCTAAATGAGTCACTAAGTCTTATACACCTCCGTTCTCTTGTCACTTGGACTCCTCAGTCCTCATCCACATGTGCCTGACTTGTAGCAATAGTATTTGAAATAGACTTCTGCACCGTGGATGATAGTACCTCTTAACCTAGATTCAAATGCTTTTGCTTAATTCCAGTAAGCTACCACTATGTGCTCTGCCCACTTTGCACATTGCCTTCTCACTTTACCTAGATAATATCTTCTCCTCAAGAACAACTCAAAACTCATCTCTTGTGCATCACTCAATAACTGTCTCAGCTTTTCCATTTTTGCTTATGTCTGTGTCATTGCCCTCCAGGAGCGCAGCACACAGTATAGTACTTATGTACCAAATATCTGTGAATGGTAAGAAAAAAGCACCATTTCTGAATTAAATCTCAGCAGAGATAAATCCTAGTAGAGTGCTTGGTGTAGAGTAAGTGCTCCATAATATTTTCTGATTAACAACATATATATATATGTTGTTGAATATATATAATACATATTCAATATCTTACTAATCACAGACAAAACTAGCTGATACTATGAACTTTTAGATGTTACATATACTTACGGGCTTCAGTAAGCTGTGATATTTCTTAAAAGTGTTGGAACTAAGTGTACGGTCTGTGAATGCATATTAATCTATTTTTTGTTGTTTTTTTCTGGTACCAGGAATCGAACTCATGACCTTGCACTTGCCAGGCAGGCGCTGTGCCACTGAGCTAAATCCCCAGCCCCTAATCTTATTTTTTAGAGTTGTGTTTCACATTTATTATTTAAAAAAAGAATTTTGTTGTAGACAAAAGTAAAAGGCAAATCAGAGAATTGAGAAAGCATTTAAGAGATTTTTCAGAAGAGACATACATAAGATTTTTCAGAAGAGATATTATTAAGTTCAAAATATAAAATTATCAAAAAGTAACAGAATGAATCAAGAGATGCAACCTACTTGCACCAAGCAAAATTTTGTGCATTCTACTTTAACAGTTTAATTTATGATAAAGATATCCTTCCATTCTGTGGAGATATTTGTCATCAAGTCTAGCATAAGAAACCTCTCATGGCCTATATGCAATGACTTTGGAAGGTTTCAGTTTTTCTTCTTTTTCTCTAGGTTTGGCCAGAGCTGCCCAATGTCAACATAGATGAGTCCATTGACCACGAGACTCAGGTTAAGGTACAGTTTACATAAATTTTTGCCTGCATTGTCCTAAATATCTGAATACTGATGTATTTTACCCAGGTGATAAGTAGCATATCCTCTGCTCAAGTAGCTCCAAAGCAAGTGTGCTCATCTGCTGATCATTTTTGGTAGAAGGTGATCTTAAAATCCAACCCAATGTTCTTAAAATGAAAAACCCAACAACTAAAATGGAAATATTTATAGGAAGAAGTCATCAGTGAAGTCCCTCACATACATTCCTCCAATGGATTGTGATTTGAAACAACTGTTGCTTGAAAAATAATGAAGCAAAATCTAGAATATTTGCACTGGAAGGCTCTGCTGGAGTTTAGCAAATTACCTAGATACCCCCAAATATACCAGCCAGTGGAAAAAGGCAAAGGTCTCGGTGTCAGCCACTGCCTCCACATCAGCCTGCTTCTACCAACCTCCCTGCTGTGCAGCTAGCTTCTCCCTGGATGATGAACCCTTTTTCATGCAGTTGGCCCGTCTAGGAAAATTGTTATTTTTTAAGTTTGATTGCTTCATATTGATTGTTAATTTTCCAGGTCCCATAATTGAAAGTCTAGTGATGAAATAAGTTCCACATTTAAGAGGGAATTTAAAACTACAGAACATTTTTCTAAGAAAATTAAGAGTGCAAGCAGCCTTCCTCTAAATCTGTGTTCACTGTAAATTCTGCAGCAGTGACCAACAGAGGTTAGATCAGAGACTGAGCTGGTAGACACAGATAGCTGCTTATCTTCCCTTCCTAGCCCCAGGACAAGCTTTCTTGGATGGGTGGAGACCCCACGAGAGTATGTGTTACTCTTGCAGCTGTACCGGGCCCGTGTTGCTTTTCCTGACTTCTTTCGTAATAGCACAACTGCGTGGTGGAAGAATGAGATACAAGAGCTCTATGCAAATCCTCGAGAACCAGAGAAGAGCTTGAAGTTCGATGGGTTGTGGATTGTAAGTGCTCCTCAGTTGTTGATCTCTGGAAGTGTCAAAACATGGGGAGGTGGCTCAGAGACTTGCAAAGCCAGGAGTTGGGGGTGGAGGAAAACCTTTACAGAACCTAGGTGCTGGGACCACAGTCAGATTATTGTGGGTCTGCCCAGGGATGCTCTGTCTTGTGGAAGCTGTAGCTCATCAAGAAGAACCACTGCTGGCAATGCCAAAGCACGAAGGAGATGGAGAGGTTCTCGGCACCTCTTACCACCAACACTTCAATCTCTTCCCAGTGCCTCTCATTGGGCAAGTCTACCCAAAGGCTAGAAGTCCATCCTGCAGTTCAAGGCAGAACCGGAAGCAGGCAAGGCATGAATCTGAGAGCTAAGATGGTTGGCTTAGGCCTGGAACAGACTACGCTAAGGCTTAAAGTCTTGTTCAGCTGTATGTTATTTGTGTTCATTGTCCCAAAGCAGGGCTTCCTGAGACGTCTTTGGACAGGAGTCCAAGGGCAGTTCCTCTATTTGTGTTTTCTAGGGATGGGAAGCATATCAGTGTCATTAACATCTTCTCTGGCACACAGTTGCCTAAATTCTTAAGCAAATTCCAGGGAAGCCATGGAGACCTGCTCAGGTCTGGGTCAGGCTGAAGGAAGCTGGTAATTCACCCAGAGACAAACTATAAACCCACTGGCTGCCCTGGGGCCTTCCTGGACACTTGAACCTTCAGGACAGATAGGTACAGAGTAGACATGTAAAATGACACATATTAATCCAAACAGGCAAATCAGACAAAGAAGAGATTTAGATATCTTCAGGAAATAAGAGATTTTAATTACTGTTGGGTGTTTGTTCTAATAGAGAGAATGCTGTAACTGGGTAACTCAGAATACATAACCCTTAATATTTACCTTTGCCTTTGGTATGTCCTAGTTAAGAGAGTACAAAATTTTAACTTACCTATTGGTAAAGTATACAGAGAGTATTTTCTTGAGGGCCTCTACCTCTTGCAATTAGATTGTAAATTCCTCAATGCATGATTTTATTTTCAGACTTGTTTCTTGAGTTACATACAGCTTTTCTGGAATGTACCTATAGCAGAAAATAAGATACCTCACCTTGTGGTTGGCCTATGCCAATGTCAGAATTAATTCAAGCTTTTGGGTTAAAGAAGGGAAGACAAAGATCATAGTGACCACTTCCTACAGCTATAAAGTGAATAATCTGTGGCTAGAAAAACAGGCAGGCTCCTCGTGTGGAGGGAGATGAATTAGAGATTTCCTTAAGTCCTGCATCAGCATTATCACAATATTTTGTCATTATGACACATTCATCATATATTTAAAAATGCCAAGGAAGCTGGAAGGGGTTTAATAGTCCACTTAAAGTGACATGGATTCTTACAGGCATTTTGATCAATGCCAGGCTTTCAACAGAAGGCACTGAGCCCCCACCTGAGGGGAGGGCTTCAGAATAGCACAATCACCTTTAAGATTCACAGCTAAGAAGATACTTCCCTCAACATGATGGGATCTGTTATGTTAACTTATTGCAGGATATGAATGAACCATCAAACTTTGTGGATGGATCTGTTGAGGGTTGCCGCAGTGAAATTCTCAATAACCCACCCTACATGCCACGTATGTAAAATTTTATTTATTTTATCAAATTACTTCCCTGCTTTAAAACCCATAGGTTTTCCTTTTACTGTCAAATGGAGCCAATTTCTGGGGGGAGAGCATAGTTTCAACACGACATAAAATCTCAAACAGAGTAACCTTGGGTAAGGACAAATTAATAAATTACTAATCAAGTATAGAAAATGATGCAATGACATAATGTGGTATAAAAGAACCTAAGTGATACATTTGATTATATTGATAACCATGAACTGATCACAAAAATTTAACTAATTCCCTACACATACCCCCTGACCAGGGAGTTACTTTAGAGAATGAAAATCTAAACCCTGAACATTCTGCCTATGTTCACAAACACTTCATGAATGAAACACTTTGGCTCTACTGTATTATAAACAGAAGGAGGATATTGGGATGACAGAAAATGGAATCCTTCTATGTTACAGAGGAAAAGGGAGCAAATGAATTCCTAAGAGCTCTGTGCTTGTGAATTTGTGAAACTGAATCTAGAATCTGGATCACTGATATGGAGCACATTGCTTAGTTATTCCTTCTTTCCTTCCTTAATTTTTTCATTTCCTCCTCCTCTTTAAAATTCATGTGCTGGGCAAATGCTGACAAAACAGAGACTTAGACAATTACACAAAATTGATGGAAGCAAGATTTATTCCCTTGAGAACAGTACCATCTAGTGGAAGATACAGTCTTAACGACAAAGGAGTTTGTCCCAGTGAGCAATGGGCTATGACTGCACTCAATTCAGTTAGAGCTGGAGCAAAGAATGCTTTTCCCAGCCCTTAGTTGTTTCTGACCCTTTAGTGGTTATTAAGTCAAAAGATATTGCCTTTGTGTGAAACAGCTTAAGAAATCAAAGTTGATAATAAAGTTGATGACTGAAATAGAGAAACGCCAAAATGGTGGTCATCTCTAGCAAGCATTCATATCCTGATTGGGAAATAACTCAGTATTTGCCCTCAGTTTTGGAATCTAGGGACAAAGGCCTGAGCAGTAAGACCCTGTGCATGGAGAGTGAGCAGATCCTTCCAGATGGCTCCCGGGTGCGACACTACGACGTGCACAGCCTGTATGGGTGGTCCCAGACCAGGCCCACCTATGAGTAAGTGTCATCATCACTGACAGCAAAGGCAACTTGCTACATTGTTACTTTGTATTTGTATTGTGCTGATACCTACCTGAGGCCAGAGAAGCAGATGAACTTCAAAATATCAGATCTCATTGCCCAACCACAATACCTCTGAATGCATGTTTCATTTAAGTTGTTAAATGTACCTATTGAAAGTGATTAATTAGGTGATGCTACAGGATATTCATGCTGTTGTGTTGTGCAGTCATCATGAAAATAAAATGTTAGAAGGTTTTCATCACTACTGAAGGAAAACTTTGACTCATTAGCAGTCATTCCTACCCTTTTCCCTTCTCCTGATTCCCTTACCACTAATCTACCTCTGCCTTGTGCATTGTCTATTCTATGCATGGTGTTTTAGGAATGGCTTTTATTATATAATATATGGTCTTTTGTGACTGGCTTCTTTCACTTGGTGCAGTATTTTCAGGTTCACTTATATTACATTATAGCATGTCTCAGCACTTTGGTCCTTATTGCTAATGAATAATATTCCATTCTATACATATATTTTGTTTATCTATCCATCAGTTGGTGAACATTTACATTATTTCCACTTTTTGACTATTATGAATAGAGATGCTGTGAACATCAATTGAAAGATTTTGAGAGAAAGTATGCTTCCTTTCCCTTGAATACATATCATGGAGTAGGCTTTAACTGATAACTGTATTTTTAATATGTTAAAGAAATAGCATACTGTTTCTAAGGAGTTTTACATTGAAAAATATCATTTAGTAGTCCTGTCCGCAATGTATGAGAGTTGCAGTTTCCTTGCCTTCTTTTCTTTCTTTCTTTTTTTTCTGGTACTGGGAATCAAACTCAGGATCTTGCGCTTGCCAGGCAGGTGCTGTGCTGCTGAGCTATATCCCCATCTCTTTCCTTGCATATTTGCCAACTTTTGGTATTATTGATCTTTTTGTCTCAAGACAGTCTATCGGGTCTGAAGTATATCTAGTTGTTGCCTTCACTTCATATCCTGAATAACAGTTACAGGTGTGCATTTCTGCATGTGCTTAATGGCTATTTGCTTAACATCTTGGCAGAAATGTTTGTTCAAATATTTTGCTTTGAAGTTGTCTTTATTATTGAATGGCAAAAATTGCTTACATAGTCTAGATACTAATTTCTTGTTAGATAGATGATTTGCAGTTTTTCTCTTCTTCTGTAGATGGTCTTTTCACTTCTGTGATGATGTTCTTTGAAACAGATTTTTTTTTTTAATTTTGAGGAAATTTCAAAGCTTTTTTCAGTCAATTTTGTATGATTGTCTAAGTCCTCTCTCTCTCTGTTTTTGAGATAAGGTCTTGCTGTGTAGTTCAGGCTGGTCTTCAACTCACTATGTAACCCACGCTGGTCTCGAAATTTCAGCCATCCTCCTTGTTCAGCCTCCTGAGTGCTAGATTACAGGCATGTGCACCATGCCTGGCTAATTCCTTCTTATTTGTTGGTATTTGTCTGGCACATAAATATTCAAGGAAAGAAGAAGAAATTGAATGTCTTTATTCCATTTCTCACTTTTTGTCATGTGTGCTGTTGGTATCATAGATAAAAAACTATTGCATGATGCATCAAAATCATAAAAATTTATAAACATTATAGTCCTAGTTATTACACCAAGATCTGTGATCCATTCTGAATTAGCTTTTATCTGATTTATGGTGTGAAGTAGGAGTTCTTTTGCATTTGGATATACAATTATCTTAGTTCATTGAAAAGACCATTCTTTTCAATTGTCTTTGTACTTTCTGGAAAATATTTAATTTAAATTGTTCTTATACTTTCTGAAAAATCACCAACAATAAGAGAGGTCATTTATGGACTTTTAATTCTTTTCCATTGATCTCCATGTCTATCTTTACATATTAATATACAGTTCTAATTAATAAGGCATGAATCTTTACTTTTATTCAATAGGGATTTTGGTAGGGATTACAGTGAATCTACAGATCAATTTGGAAAAGTATTGCTATCTTAATAGTATTAAATCTTCTAATCCACTAATGTGAGATGTCTTTCTATTTACTTAGATTTTCTGTCAATAATAATTTATAGTTTTCCGTGTATAAACTTTTTGCTTTTATTTCTTTGAATATATTTCTGTCCCTTTTCTCCTTCTGAGCCTCACAGAATCTATGTTGTTACACTTGATACTGTCCCACAAGTCTCTGAAGCACTGTCCATTTTTCTGTACTTTCTGCTCCTTACACAGGCTCATCTCTATTTTGCTGTCTTTAGTTCGCTGGTTCTTTTTCTCTACCAACCAAATCAGAAACTGCATCCTTTCCTTCAATAAATTTTAATTTCATTTATTGTATTTTTCAACTCCGAAATTTCTATTTGGATTGTTAGTAGTTTTTAATTTTTTATTAATATTTTCTTTAAAAAATTTTTTTGAGACAGGGTCTCCCTATGCAATTCAGGCTGGCCTTGAGCTCACTTTGTAGCCCAGGCTGGTTTTGAATTCACAACGATCCTCCTGCCTCAGCCTCCCAAGTACCAGTGGAATTACAGGCGTGTGCCACCATGCTTGGCAATATTTTCTATTTATTGATGCAACATAATCATACTTTCCTTTCAGTTTTTAGATATGCTTTCTTTTAGCTCTTTGAACATATTTATTGTAGCTAATTAAAAGTCCCTATCTACTAAGTCTGCTTGGCAACATTTTCTATGGGCCACTTTTTCCTTGTATGTATGGGATATATACAGATATACAAATATGCAATTTCAATAAATTGTATGTGTATTTCTGTCCATTTTGAATTTATTTTGGTATGAAATACTGGAAATGACCCAAATGGGTTAGTTTTTACTCCAGTAAGTAGCTTCTTTCACTGACATCTTATTTTGAATAATTCATGTGGGTGTATACTTGTTTGTGGTGCTTTCTTTATTTTTTGGATTGCAAACATATTAGGATTGTTAATAGACTTTTCCTTTCACTGATTTTTCTCACATACTTTTAAGAAAATTTCTCAGAAGATTCATCTTCTTTTGAGAGCTATTTGATGATCTTTTAATGTGTATTTGCCTGTGTGTGCAAAACATATCCTGTTCTTTGAGATATGGCGTAGTAGAATGAGTTTTATCAAAAAGGGATACCATATATACTGTTAGGTGGACCCCAGGTTTGCTTCCTTGCTCTTTAAACTGTCTTTGTGAATTATCTGACTTCTCTGAGCCTTAGTTTCCTAACAAAGAGGAGGGTGATACAAGGAAACTTCCTGTGAGATGGAATACATGAAAGTGACCAGTGTGACCTGGGGCATGGGACTTGTCCCTTACCCCTATCCCTCCTCTTAACCTCCACAGAGATAAAAAAAACTTATTTAAAAATTAATCCACATTCTAGGTGCAGAAATCCCTCTTCCACAGACCTACTGTGAAGTTGGTTGGGATTCTTAGCGTCCCTTTTAGATGACCGGTCCTTTTCAGAAAACAGTTCCCTAACTCTGAATGGAACAGCTCAGCTGCCTCATGGTCAAGCTGCAGCTGCTCCCTGTCCATCCTCAAATTTACCTCCTTATTCTCCTCCAACCAGAGCTGTGCAGGAGGTGACAGGACAGCGAGGAATCGTCATCACCCGCTCCACATTCCCCTCTTCCGGCCGCTGGGCAGGACACTGGCTGGGGGACAACACGGCCGCGTGGGACCAGCTGGGGAAATCGATCATTGGTATGTGGGCCTCTGGGGTCCTCTGACGGTTGTGGCGTGGGTACTGGAGTGTGTTCTTTGGTTACACTGGATATGTCTAGACTATCATCTAGGTGAACAGTAAGATGCGAAGAGTTGAGTTCTCTAAGAGTGTGAGTTTTAATTCATACTCATCTTTCAGTGTTTTCCTTACGCATGGCCCAGGCTTGCTAATGTGGAAAGGAACAGGGAAAGGGAAAGCCTTCCCTCTCCTCACAGGGCTTGTCTAAACCATCCCTACTGTCTCATTGCAGGCATGATGGAGTTCAGTCTCTTCGGAATTCCTTATGTAAGTCATAGTGAGGCCGTTTCTAACTACCCGGTCAGATTTCATTGTGCCTACACCCCACTCATGTCCTGATGTTGTGTCATACCAGACAGGAGCAGACATCTGTGGGTTCTCTGGAGATGCCGAATATGAGATGTGTATTCGCTGGATGCAACTGGGGGCCTTTTATCCATTTTCCCGGAACCACAACACCATCGGGACCAGGGTGAGGTTGCTGTTGTTCAAGCTACAGGTCTTTTGTGGCCTCAGAGAGTGGCTTATTTTTAAGTCATGAAGGTATCATAATTATACCAAAAACAATCATCAAAATCACCAGGACCTTTATTTTGTGGAAAACGCACAACCTTCAGAACCACAGAATTATAAATACCTTTTAAGAATATATTTTCTTCATTTCTTGGAGACAAGTAACCAGAAGAGAGAAGTCTTTATAACTCCTCCATGGAGCTAGGCTATAAGAATCCCCCCATTTGTCTTTAGGAATTTTAAACTTGTGTTTTACTTCCATCAGAGATATATCAGTGCTGGGTGGAGACTTGCTTTTCCACACATGTGCAGGGTTAACGCTAGACCTATGCAGGGGATGTGGGGATGACAGATAAAGAGAAGGAGCAACAAGCTCTAGATTTGTACGTGGCAGGGGTGGGGAAGAGTAGGTCAGAAATGAAGGGAGATGGAGTGAGTGACCTTCATGTGGAATGAAAGCTGGGTGATCCTTTTCTGATACTGCTAGAATGGAGTGAAGCAGAAGTGATCTGTTACACACCTTATCTTTTTAGAGACAAGATCCCGTAGCCTGGAATTCAACCTTTGAGATGTTCTCAAGAAAAGCCCTGCAAACCAGGTACACCCTGCTGCCTTATCTCTACACTCTGATGCACAAAGCTCACGCTGAGGGCAGCACTGTCGTTCGACCCCTTCTCCATGAGTGAGTACAACCTCTTTCCCCAGGCAGCACGTCTGGGGCTGTCTTAAAAATAACCCTCTGTGACAGTGAAGGGTATGGGTGAATCTTTCATATTTATTTTCTTCAGGTTTACAGATGACAGATCAACTTGGGATATAGACCGTCAGTTCATGTTGGGCCCTGCCGTCTTGGTCAGCCCTGTGCTGGAAAGTGTGAGTTTTTCATTCTAGGTCAGACCCTCTAATCCCATAATTTAAAGCCACAGGAAAACTATTTTAAAGATCAACGTGTCTCATCCAGTTCACTGTTTTCAAACAAATGACTTTCTAGAGTATCCAAAAGAAATCCGTTTCTCCTTTCAAAATTTCTATTAACAAACATTTCACAATGCTGATTGATTTCTCATTCCGGAAGTTTGTATCCTTTTATAGGTTTCTTTTCAAAATCTTCTTCTGTGTATGTGAAGAGGAAATTCCTAGAATCTTTTTCAATAAAAGCCCTCACATTCTTGACATCCAAGTAAATTCTGTCTACCTTAATTCTACAAAAAGGATTTTAAAAATTAAAATGAATGCATTATTGGAGTGTTCGTGGTGACATGTTGGTTTTGTTTCAGAACACTTTTGAGGTCAGAGCTTACTTTCCCAGAGCCTGGTGGTATGACTACAGCACGGTAAGAGTAAACATCATTCCAGGCAGGGTAGAGAAGTGTCCAGAGCTTTCTCCTGACGTCTATGAATATATTTTCTAAGGAAATCATTGCCAACCTTTTCAGCTTTGGAAAAGTTTGTGTAAGTGAAAGGATGCACACAAGCATAAACTGACACCTTTGAGCACCTATGCTGCATGGATGCTCACCACCCACCTTTCCTGGAGACACAGAAAAGTGTAGGCTTTCAGAGTCCTAGGCAAAAGTGAAAAGCAGGGGCATTCTTTTCAAGTTTACAATGTTTTCCAGTGTACTTTCTTGGAAAGGAAGGACTTGCAATAATGCATTCACCTACTTAATACATTAACCCCTCACTATTCCTTTGCCGATTTGCTCCCTTCTAGGAATCCTGCCATAAATCTACAGGTGTTTGGGAGATACTGAAAGCTCCCCTCGACCACATCAACCTTCATGTCAGAGGAGGCTACATTCTGCCTTGGCAAGAGGCTGCAATGAACACTTATTCCAGGTAAGGGGAGGCTGTGTTTGATGGCCTTACTCCAGAATAATTCAAGCCAAGCTTGAATGCTAAGCTCTAGTACTTTGGATTTTATTCTTTAAACCATAAAGTTTTGGAAGCTACCATCAGCTCTCGCTTTTCTTTATTCCTGGGTCTTTTTCCTAAGAAATCCATATCTCATCATATTACTTGTAACACGTGCAAATTATGTATAATTTATTTTATTTTTGAAAGTTGAAATTAAAACAAATATTTCATTAAAGTTTAAATGCTTTTCCATTGTTAAGAATTCTATATTTTATCTCATTTTACCTATTTTTATCTCCTGTGCACATTTCATCTATTCCTTTTATTTCTGGATAGGTAATATTTTTTAACAGGTGCTGATCCTCATTCTTATGACCTACAATCTAGTGAAAAATGATTCTTTCTTTTTTGGTAGTCGACAAAATTTTATGGGATTGACTGTTGCTTTAGATGAGGATGGGAAAGCTGAAGGTCAGATATTCTGGGATGATGGACAAAGCATCGGTGAGTTGAATTTTCCCAGGTCTCTGTACATCATGCAGAAAACCCATGGTAGAGGCTCAGTATACAATATAGGAAACTAAATCTTATCTCAGCATCTGCTATTGTCAGTAAGGCAATGATATTTTGAGTAATTTTGCAATTTTCGCCATCTCATATATATAATATATATATATATATATATATATATATATAATATATAATAGTACAAATTATTATAGAGCAAGTATTTTGTCCCTAGTTTGGGAGGTTCAGGAACCTGATGTTATGGATTCAGCCAGAATGATGAACTGTCTCTCTCTGATAAAACAGAGTGGGTGCAAATATCAGTTTGACAGTGAATTCATTCTCATTGGGATACAGATCTGGCTTCATTATTTAAGTCAGCCCCTGATACCAGGCATCTTTTTTCTCATAAGAGGCCCACTCAAGAGACAAATTAGATCCTAGAAAAGTTTCTTGGTGATTCATAAATTGTGAATTGACTATTTCTAAGAGGATTCTTCATATTGCTTTTTGTGCTTTCTTTCTCAGATTTAGGGATATCTTGTTCTACCTTAGGTAATTGGAATCTGTCATTATATTCAGAACACCATCTTCCTCATACATTTCTAGGGAAATACAGAGCTACCAATCAGCTCTCCCTTTTCACTATGTATTTGTTTTATCTGTTCTGTGCCAGAACATTCTGATGTTGCAGTTTGCCACATATTTTTAAATTATGGTTTATTTTTCTACTAATAATATTTCTAAAGATTTTTTCTTGTTAGTTTTCTTCAAAGGATGGAGGATAAGAATGATCAAGTGTGTTATGTTCACATACAAATCTGCCAAAAAACTTTTAAATCTGTATAACAGTATGTGCTAATAAATAGATGCCAAAAATAAAAAAAACAAAACAAAAAGTATTATCTTTAAAATTTTTGAAGGTAGAACATTAGAAAAATGCAATCACTTAAAAAGGTTTTTTTAATTTGTTTTTCATATTAAGAAAATGGTTAAGTTTTTATGTAACTGAAAATTTACTACTTAATTTGTGAATTTTGATTGTTTTCATGATATACATATATTTAGGTGTTCTTATGTACTTATTGTAAGCACCAGTATGACACCCATATATTATTGAGAAGATTGTCATAATTTATCTAATTTTTTATCTTTACTGGGATTTGATCAATACATACTGTGTACATGTATTGAAATATCACACTGTACTTCGTAAGTATGTGCAATTATTGTGTGTTTAGAAAATATTTACAGGGGTATAAATGTTTGCTGCCCTGATTTGATCATTGTGTATTGTGACAGATCATCAAATTGTACTCCACAAATATGTTAAATTAAAATGCCAGTTAATAAAAAAAAAAAACACTAAAAATTGTTTATCATGAGAAAAGGAAAAAGTTTAATTTTAATCAATTTTTCTAAACCTCAGTGATCCTGGCATCTGTGGTTAGATACTTCTTTGTTGCTGGTGGCTGAGCTATTTACTACAGGATGTTTAATAGCATTTCTGCCTTCTCCCCATCTGATAACAAAAATGAAATATCACAGCCATATATATCTCTAGACATTAGAAAATGTCCCCAGAAAGGCAAAATCACTGCTAGTTATGGACCAATGTTTTTAAGAGTGTAGAAAGTTCCTTTGCATAGTCTGGGCTAATCAGGACTAGATGAGTGATATCATAGTGGTTTAATATCACCACAGTTAGTATTAAATTCAATCTCCTGTGAGTGTTTCAAAAATTTAAAGGAGAAAAGCCATTTCTTAATACAATTTAAGTTTCTGTGAAAATATGTTTGATTTAGAGTTAAATGTCAATAGTTCCTGAAACTTTCAAATATTTTTCAGAGAGGCTTTTTATATTTTTTAAATGCAATACGCTTAGAAATTCAAAGTTAAATACTACAATATGGCATAAGTATAGATTTAATTGGAATTTCCTATTAACAGCTTGTAATTACTTGTTAAACTTTCTCTTACTTACATAAGGTAATACAATGTTGACATTGACCAAGAGTAGATCTTCAAATGAAACTAATTTTCAGAAATAGGAAGAGTTAAAGAAGATACATGAGGAGAATCAATAAAGTAGTTATCAACTCAAAGTAAGGTAGTCTCCCTTTACTTGAAGATTTACTTTTCACGATTTAAATTATTGGTGGTCAGCTATACTCTGAAAATATTAGATAGAAAATTCTAGAAATAATTTGTAAGCTTTAAATTATGGATCCTCTCATCTAGCATGATGAAATCCTATGACATCCTGCTCCATCTCATGCAGGACATGAGTCATCCCTTTGTCCAATGTATGTATGTTGTATATGCCACCCTCCCAATATCCATTTAGTATACATTTCAGCAGAACAACTTCTGTGGTTCTGCAATGCATGTATTTTTTAAATAATGTCCCGTATGCCCAGGGGTTTAGTAGAGTATATTATTATAATTGTTTTGCTTTCCTTACAGAATATCATTGTAACAGTTCTATTATTATTATTAATCTCTGACTGGGCCTAATTTATAAATTATACTTTATCATAGGCATGTAGCTATAGGAAGATGTATAGTACATCTGTACTATACACAGTTTTGAACATCCACTAGGGGTCTGGCTCTTGGAACCCATCCTTCATGGATAAGACTACTGTATTTTAAAGGGAAGGTGTATATTTAAGAGTCTGAAAATCCTGACCATGAAGAGATATTTAGATTTAATGTACTATGTCACTTATGACTTTGAAAATATTAGATTCAATACAAAAGGAAATACAGGAATAATGTAGGAGATGTAAATCACATTTTGAGTTGAATAAACAGGTACAACAATCAAGAGATCGAGGTCTGCCAGTTTCAGGCAGATGGCAATAGAAAGGACGTGCGATATTTGTTTGATATAATCAAAGGAAGGATTTGTCACAGTGGAGTGCTCTGGGTTGCCATTGTAGCCTACAGAGGCAGAGAAGTCCTGGGGGAAAGTTAATGGAATCAACTCTGCAGAGGCAGGAGGGTTTAGGATTTCTAGCACTGTGGAGGACAGACTAAGAGTAGGGAAAGAAAATTAATAAAGACGATGATTTTGATGATGATAGTGAACAACAAATTTCTATCAGTTATTTTGCACAAGCTGAATGTTATGTACCTACGTCCTTAAATAGGTACTATTATCATGAGGTGTGATTAAAACATAGTGAATATTTAATTTTTGAAAAAAATTATATTAAAAGACATGTTACTATCAATTCCCCTTAACATGCTTCCCCTCCACACTCTGAACACATTTATTTCACCATTCTTGCCACTTTCCAAAGCAACTCTGGAAGTCCTCTTTCTTATGTGTTTGTACTTGTATTATTAGGCCTGCCTTGAAGTCCTAAACTGATTTAAAAATCCACCTTTCATAGTCATTTTGACTTTGGGGGAGAGCCAGAAGTAGAATGGTGCCAGATCCAGTGAATAAAGTGGGTAAGAACACACTGTAATGTTTTTGTGAGCCTGTCTTTCCATTAAATGGCGTGTGACATTCACGAAAAAGGACTTCCAGAACTTCTTCAGGAGGTAGTAAGAATAATCAGCTAAGTGTGTTTGAATTGATGGGGATTAATGGCAATGTGTCTTTTACTGTAAGACATTTTTACAAATTTAAAAATTAACCATATATTTTGATCACACCTTGTATATCTGTTCTGCAAATGATAAAATGTTAAGCACTTCCCCAAGTTTACACAAATGTTACATACAAAAGCTGGTTTTTGAATCCATGTCTATCTGACTCAGAAGTTTGAATCCTTAACCACTGTCCTCTGCTTTGAATTTTTATCATCATAGGTATGTAAAGTCTCATGGTTATGTGCTTGCTATATCAGTGCAGAAGAACTAATCGGTATGCTCTGTACTTCACCTCAGTATCCATTCTTAATTTAATTTAGAATACCTTGCATTTTAGCCTCCAGTCCCTCTTCTCCCCGCTGCCTCCCTCCACTCATGGATCTCTGGGGGTAGGATGTCCTTGCTATTTTTCCCCTCCTCTCCCCTCCCCTCCTCTCCTCTCCTCTCCTCTCCTCTCCTCTGTTCTCTGCTCTGCTCTTTTTTTCCTCTCCTCCTTCCTCCTCCTCTTCCTCTTCTTTTCCCTCTCCTTCCCTCCTCTCCTTCCCCTCTTTTCTTCTCTCCCCTCACCTCCTCTTCCTCCCCTTTCTTCTTCTTCTTCTTCTTCTTCTTCTTCTTCTTCTTCTTCTTCTTCTTCTTCTTCTTCTTCTTCTTCTTCTTCTTCTTCTTCTTCTTCTTCT